TAGAACCTTCAAAGTCAGGGGTTAAGATCTAAGGGGGTCCAAACGGGGCTGAACCTGCTCGCGTTTCCTGTGGCAAGGACAAAAGAGAAGTGGTCAAAACCCCCTTGATAACTATCCAGACGCATCTATCCCAACGGCCCAGGCTCATCTGAGGATCCCACCAAACACTGTCATCATACGGTTATGTTTCTCAGTAACAAGAGGAGGAAATGGGGGCTTTAAGACCAGAGGAGGAGGACAGGATTCAGGAGGAAGTGTGAAGAGGAGGACAGGATTCAGGAGGAAGTGTGAAGGAGACGTAGGAGCCCAGGGAACCTGCTCGGAGGTTTTCCGACACACAGGAGTATTTTAAAGGTTTATTTATTTAGTGTGTGTGTGTGTGTGTGTGTGTGTGTGTGTGTGTGTGCCAGGCTAGGGCATCAAATCCTCTGGAGCTGGAGTTTTAGGCCTAGAGTCAGGTGTCAAGGAAAATTAGCATGTCTTGGCCTCAGAAGAACTTTTCAAAGAACAGTTTATGAAGTTTGAAAAAAAAACAAGTCAGGCAATGGTGGTGGTGGAGGTGGCTGTGCCACGCCTTTAACCCCAGCACTTGGGAGGCAGAGGCAGGCGGATCTCTGTGAGTTCAAGGTCAGCCTGGTCCACAGAGTGAGTTCTAGAACAGCTAGGGTTGTTACACAGAGAAACTCTGTGAGGGAACAAGAGATGACCAAACAAAAAAGTCTTCCTAATTCTGTGACTATGGATATAAAAATGGACAGTGAGCAAGAGTGCCCAGAGTGCTAATCTTGGCCAGTTGTCCCTCCCCCTCCCCCACCTGCGCAGAGCCACCAGTCCGGAGGAAAGCAGAGCAAAGAGTCCAACCCTGCCTCCCACCTTCCGGGCAGCTGCCTGAGGGGAAGTCTCTAAATAGGGACAGCTGCTCCTTTTTCAAGGCCATTTCTGGGCACGTCTGCTTAGTTCAGGTAAAACAACACTATGAAATATCAAACACGAATCTCATGAATCAGCTTAGCTTTGATCCATTCGGAGAAACAGCACACAGGCAATAGCCAGACCACACATTCAAAGGAACTTTCACATAAATCTGTAGCCATGTGCGTAGGCGACCTGTATCCTATACACAGGAACCAGCCAGGAAGCCACGCTCTCAAGAACAACTTCTGCAACAATTGCCCCAGAGCTGCCTGGAATAAACAGCCCGCAGCTTCCATTCCCAGGCCAGTCAAGGCCAACGGGCTCCCTGCCAGCGGTGTCAGAGCAGTGTTCCCCGGCCAACAGCTCTGTCAGCGGTCCCTTCTCCCTACCCTGTCTCCCCCCCACTCCTCTGCCTGCCTTGAGTCCCTGCCAACCTCACGTTATGATATCTGCCACTCCAGTCACTGCAAGCTCTGAAGAAACCTCGCTTTCATTTGGACGGACATCTTTATTTCTACAATATTACTGCCAGATCTTCACACGGCTCTGTGTCAAGGCAGGAAGCCATCCATTCCCAAAGGCACCAGCTTCCAGCAGCTTGCCTGAGGGTGTTGTCGGGACAGTAAGTCGTTCAGTGACTCTTGTTCAGTGTGGTGAGCCGGGGAGGGGACCTTCAACCTAGGTCACCGCCATCACAGGGACTTTAGGGAAGAGAGACATGGCCTTAGGGTCATGATGGTTAACGCTGCATGCAGACTCACCCTGCCACAGGCTGCCCAGGTACCTGGCTGCACATCACTCCATGTCAAAGGGTCTCCCCCTGGGGCAGACACACACATGTGAGTCATCAGAGAGGAAGAGGCGGAAGGGAGGCTCAGTGGGTAGGACACTTTGAGAACATGCACAGCTCCCTAGGTCCAACACCTCCCCCCCCCCCCACTACATAAGCCATGCACGGTAATGCATGCCTAGAACCTCAGCACTTGGTAGGTGGAGAGAGAAGAGTGAGTTTAAGATTGTCCTCAGCTACTCAGTGAGTTCAAGGCCAGCCTGAGCCTTAAGAAAAGGAAGGGAAGAAGGAAGAAAGAAGGGAGGAGGGGAAAACAGCATAACTTGGGACATAAACAGACAACTTTTTCTCACTGTTTGGAGGCATCCAAGCCTACAGTCCCAGGGGTCAGCTCCAGGCTTGCAGACAGTTGTGGATCTATTACAAACATTCTCTCAGGTCCCTGCTAGTGTGGGCGTGTGGAGGAAATGGCTTTTCCCTACTTCTAAGAGTGATTCTCAAACTGTGGGACGCAACAGGGTCACATATCAGATAAGTTCATTAAGATTAGCAATGAAAAGAACTTTATGCTTGGGGGTCATCACAGCAAGAAGAACCGTATTAAAGGGTCACGGTGTTAGGGAGGTTGAGAACCACTTACTCTAGAGTCTAAAACTCCAATCCTTTGGATTAGGACCCCTCAGCCTTCACTGCCTCCCGAAAGCCCTTATTTCCAAGAACTGCTGCATGAGTGTTTGAGGGATGAGGATCCAACATGAGTCTGATGACTGGGCGCACATTCAGTCCGCAGAGGCAGGAATTCCCACCATTTTACAGGCAGGAACTGAAGGCCACTCAAACAGCTACAGAGCTCAGAGAAGAGTCACATCCGGCTGGCTAGGCAGAGCTGCCTCCCCGCTCCAGCTCTGACCAACTGTCTCACATCTGAACCCCTGCTGCGTCTCACTCCAGTAAAGACAAACACACCAGGAGCAAGACCCGGTCAGGCGCAAACAGCACACTGGACGGCAGCTCCTCTGTTAATCAGCATCTGTCTCAGTCAAGGTTATCACTGCTGTGACCCAACACCGTAACCAAAGCAACTTGGTGGGCACAGAGTTTATTTCAGCTTCCACTTCCAGGTAAGAGTTCACAGATGAAAATCAGGGCAGGATCCTGGAGGCAGGAGCTGATGCAGAGGTCATGGAGGAGTGCGGCTTACTGGCTTGCCCTCTCTGCCTTACTCAGCCTACTCGAATCCAAGACCACCAGCCCAGGGGTGACACCACCCATAATCGGCTGGGCCCGCCCCCATCAACCACAGGTTAAGGAAATGCTAGGTGGGTCTCATGGAGGGATTTCCCCAATTGAGATTCCACAATTTCAGACGACTCTAGCCTTCGTCAAGTTGACATAAAACTAGCAAAGAACAACTGACCTCTTGTTAGATGGCACACAGGTGCATCACTATTTTTTTTTTGTTTTGTTTTATGAGACAGGGTTTCTCTGTATTGTTTTGGAGGCTGTCGGCCCAGCCCGGCCTCGAACTCACAGAGATCCGCCTGCCTCTGCCTCCCGAGTGCTGGGATTAAAGGCGTGCGCCACCAACGCCCGGCCAGGTGCATCACTATGAAGTCCTCATCTTTCCTTTCTTCTTTCTTGTTTATTCCCAAGATGACCCACTAACACTAACATCACGATATAAAACATTCTTACAATCCTAAAAAAAAAAAAACCCACAGTCTTTACAAGTTCAGACATGTTAAAATTCAGTCATTTTAAAAATCCAATGTCTCTTTTAAAAGCTAAAATCTCTTTTAAAAATTCAGTCTCCTGCAAATCTGTGTGTAGCATTAACCATCATGACCCTAAGGCCAGGTGTTGGTGGCGCACACCTTTAATCCCAGCACTCGGGAGGCAGAGGCAGTCGGATCTCTGTGAGTTTGAGACCAGCCTGGTCTACAAGAGCTAGTTCCAGGACAGGCTCCAAAGTCACTGAGAGACCCTGTCTGGAAAAAAAAAAATTCAGTCTTCCAATTGTGGGCTCCCGTAAAGTCAAAAATAAATGACTTTCTTGTTTCAAGAGGGAAGATCCAGGACACCGTCACAATCTGAACCAAGCAAAACCAAACCCCAACAGTGTAAATAGCTCAGTGTCCGATGTCTGGGATCCACTCACAGTCTCCTGGGCTGCTCCAAAGGGCTGGGTCTCTTCTCCGGCTGTGCCCTCTGCGGCACACACAGCTTGTCCTCTAGGCTCCGGCTGGCTCCTCTTCCTGTTTGTAGGCATGCCACGGGTACGAGAGTCTCCCAAATGCTGGGATCCTCTGCTGCCACTGGGCTACACTTTCACCAATAGCCTGGACTCTCTTTGGGACTGCAGCCCTGCCACACAGAGCTGCCTCAGCTGCTCCCCACGACCCCTTCACACCTCCAAAACCAGAACTACCTGGCTGACTCTTACACCACCAAGTTCAGCTGCCAGCATAAGGTACAGCCTTGGCCATGTCTGGAACGGCTTCTGTGTGCTGACCCTCAGGAAACACTTTCCAGAAGATTTCACCTCATCAATGCTGACCTCTTCTTAACCACAGCTGCTTCACCAGCCCCAGCTGACAAGATTCTTCGCAGAGGGCCTGATGGTCTTTGCTTCTCTCTGGAACTTCATAAGCCAGGCCTCCATCGTCTGCACTGCTCTCAACAGTATCTCCCAAGCTCCTACAGAACAGCCCATGAGCTCTCAACACTCAATGGCTTTTCTAGCCCAAAGTTCCAAAGTCCTTCCGCCATCCTCCCCAAAATAACATGGTCAGGTCTGCCACAGCAATACCCCACTCCTGGTACCAACTTGTCATGGTTAGGATTCCCTCTTTGCAAATGACTCTTGCTTGTGTCAAGCTGACATAAGACTAGCCAGGACAGCACCCATGTCTGGGAGGGCAGACAGCAGCAGAAGCAGACATGTGTAGCAGAAGCTCTCAGGGGGCCGAGACTACCCAGGCACGTGTGTCTAAGAGACAGGAGAGGATGTGAGAGGCAGGAAAAGATCCCAGCTACAAGTGCACTCACACCCTAGGAGGGGCTCTCCGTGGAGGCGCAACTGCCGACTCTCCTGGCCAGGGGCTCAGGCTGAGCTGGTGTGACCCGCCCCTCTAGAGACAACTGGATCACACTGAGCATGGGTCAAGTCACAATTAGAAGGCAGTATTTTTCCTCTCAAGTATTACCAAATGTTCGGAATGGACAATAGGAGTGAGACTGACTGAACAGAAAGCAGGGCTTATAAGTTTATTATAAATAAGGGACAGGTAAAAAATGCACATTAAACACTTTTATTCATTCTTTTTGCTTCAAAGCATAGCTTAGACAAACAAACACATGACGATAACTGTGAGATTTCCTGTGGCCCAGGAGATTTTAAGAACAATTTTAGTCCAAGTGTTGGATTACCATCTGCTTAATGGCACCCTTAAAATTTCTATCCTGTTCATCATTCCCAGTTGATGGCCTACCGGTTAAATTCAGTCATAAGTCTTCTATGTATCGATTTCCTGAATTCATCAGTGTGTTCCAGGTCGCCACCAAGTCCTCTTACTTGGTGACTGGCTACTGGCAATGTCACCACGGCACGCCCTTTCCTGGGGTTTTAAGTCAGGCAGAGGGCAGACATCCAGGGGAAGCAGATGTAGTTCTTGACTGAGCCATGGCAGCGGTGACCTGTGGAGAACAAAGTAGTGGTATTAAAGGGGACCCAGTGATACAACCCAACCCAGTGATACAACCCAACCCAGTGATACAACCCAACCCAGTGATACAACCACAATACAGTGATAAAGCCCAAAGGCAGTGACACAACCCAAACCCAGTGATAAAACCAACACATTGATATAACCCAAACCCAGTGATACAACCCAAACCCAGTGATAAAACCAACACATTGATATAACCCAAACCCAGTGATACAACCCAAACCCAGTGATACAACCCAAACCCAATGATAAAACCCAACGCAGTGATACAACCCAACCCAGTGATACAACCCAACTCAGTGATAAAACCCAATCCAGTGATACAACCCAAACCCAATGATAAAACCCAAGGCAGTGATACAACCCAAACCCAGTGATAAAACCAACACATTGATATAACCCAAACCCAGTGATACAACCCAAACCTAGTAATAAAACCCAAACCCAGTGATAAAAACCAACCCAGTGATACAACCCAAACCTAGTGATAAAACCCAAATCCAGTGATACAACACAAACCCAGTGATACAACACAAACCCAGTGATACAACCCAACCCAGTGATAAAACCCAAACGCAGCTGCAGTCACCTCAACCGTAAGTCATCTCAGTGAGAAACCGAGGATCTCTCTCTCTCTCTCTCTCTCTCTCTCTCTCTCTCTCTCTCTCTCTCTCGCTCTCTCTCTCTCTCTCTGTCTCTCTCACACACACACACACACATACACTCATGTACACACATGTGTACACACTCACACAGGAGTACACACACGCATACACACTCACACACGTGTTCACACACACACGTATGCACACGTACACACACACATACATACACACAGGAAGGGATGATATTTAAAACGGAAAAGAAAAAAGATTCTTACTAAATTTGTATTGAATTTCTCCTTTAACAATAACAAAAACAGATGAATTAAAAACCAGAACCTGCTGTCTGGCAGTGGTGTCACACTCCTTTAGTCCCAGTACTCTGGAGGTAGAGGCAAGTAGATCTCTGTGAGTTCGAGGTCAGCCTGATCTATAAAATGAGTTCTGGGACAGCCAGAGCTGTTACACAGAGAAACCCTCTCTCAAAAAATAAAACAAAACAAACAACACCCCCCCACACAAAAAAAAGACAGAACGTGGCAAAGTGGAACTGAATTCCTTCAACACCAGCACAGGTTTGTCTGGGTAAGCACCCACTTGCTTAAGGAGTTACAGCTTTCCTACTCAAGCTCATAACTGAGCCTCCGCACTGACTAGTGTTAGAGTTAAAGGCAGATACCATGTCTTGGATTTTATTATGTGGATGTTTACAGCTTACATGGAGCTCTGACCCTCTCAGGAAACTCCATCTGGAGGCAACGAAGACGAGAATGAGCAAAAGTTCGCATGCAGAAAGGTAAGTGTGGAGGGGGTGTCCTTATTCAGCTGTAGCTCCCTTCTCGAGAAAAACTGAGCATCCTCGATATCCCTGTTGCCAGCACTTGGGTCCCTCCTGCTGGGACAAACATTCCCCTTTTCTGTTCCAGGTTTCTTGAGCGCCGAGGTCTAAGAAGAGTAAGCCACATGGATCAGGATAGTGCCAGTCTGCACTTCCACTGACAGAGAGTCTGAGAAACAGGAAAGAACCTAAGAGATATGCATGGTACCCCAGAGAAGAGGAATAAGGCAAGATCTTCTGAATAGATTGGGAACACGGCGAGGAATGGAGGGGCGTGGGAGCTGGGAAAAAGAGAGGTGGAGAAGAGGAGGAAAGAGTAGGTCATGGGGGAAAGGTTGAGTGGGGGTTAGAATAGGGGGAGAACAGGATGAGAAATAGTATAATAGAGGGAGTCACAGGTTAGAAGACAGATCAGGCATTGGTGGCGCACGCCTTTAATCCCAGCACTCGGGAGGCAGAGGCAGGCGGATCTCTGTGAGTTCGAGGCCAGCCTGGTCTACAAAGTGAGTTCCAGGAGAGCCTCCAGAGAAACCCTGTCTCGAAAAAAAAAAAAAAAAAAAAAAAAAAAAGAAGACAGATCAGGCACCAGTGAGACCTCTAGTGATCTAAAGGGATGACACCAACTGGCAAGCTAAGCAATAGGGTAGAGACCACCTTGAATGCCCATTCCTGATAATGAACTTGATGTCTACACTATATGCCATCTTAGAACCTTCATCCAGTGACTGATGGAAGCAGAGGCAAACACCCACAGTTAAACACTGAACTGAACCCATGGAACCCAGCGACAGAGAGAGAGGAGTGATGAGCAAATTGGCAAAGAATGGGCTGGCGAAACCAGCAGAGACAGCTGATCTGAACAAGGGGGAGCTCTTGGACCCCAGACCGACAGCTAGGAGGCCAGCATGGGACTGATCCAGACCCCCTGAGTGTGAGAGTCAGTGAGGAGGCCTGGGCAACCTATGGGGCCCTGGGCAGTGGATCAGTGTTTATCCCTGGCATACAAATGTGTCCATAACACAAAGAGGGATGCTCTCTCAGCCTGGACTCTTAGGGGAGTGCCTGGACCCTGCCCTGAATGAAATGACAGACTCTGGATATCCCATATGTGGAAGGAAGTGGTGATAGGGTGGGAGGCTGGGGGGGATGGGAGGGGAGAGGGAGGAGGGGAGGGAACTGGGATTGACATGTGAAGCAAGCTATTTAAAATTAAAGTAATAAAAACAGTTAAAAAATAAAAGAAGTGTGAGCCTGCTGTGGCTCCCCTCTAGTCTACCTGCTTTCTCAACTCCATCTCCTTACAGAAGATGAGAGCTCCACAGCTAACCCTCAAGTACTGCTTTCTCAACTCCTCCTCCTTACAGAAGATGAGGGTTCCACAGCTAACCCTCAAGTACTGCTTTCTCAACTCCATCTCCTTACAGAAGATGAGAGTTCCACAGCTAACCCTCAAGTACTGCTCCAGACTGTAAGGGAAGCTGAGAGGAATCAAGAAAAATTTAAAGGACACAAGACATGCACTGTGTGGCCACTTCCACTCTGAGAGGCCTTCTGAAGAGAGATGAAAAGGAACACGCGCTGCAGAAACATCCTAACACGGTGTGCTAGTTGGCTGTAACTGTTTCAGTGAGGGGCTGTCTGCACTGGGATGACGTGTGGACATGTCCATGCAGTTGTCTTAAGTTGGCTGTGTGAGGAGACCCAGTCCACCGTGAGCAGCACCATTCTCTAGGCACAAGAATCCTGCACTTTGTAAGAGTGGGGAAATCCAGCAGCGCAAAAGCAAACATGCATGTGCCCATTTCTCCCTGCTGTAGACTGTGGGTGTGATGTGATTAGTTGTTTTCTGGTTCTGCTGCCTTGACTTCCCCACATGATGGACTATAACTTGGAAATACAAACCAAAACAAACACCTTCCACCTACAAGTTGCTTTCGTCACGATGTTGTATCACAGCAACAGAAATCAAATTGGGAAACGGGGTGACAAAGAAAGAGGATTTTAGGCAAAGGCAAATGCTAGGCAAAGAAAAAGAATGCTAGACAACCAAATCAACAACACAGGAGAACCACAACACAAAAGAGGCCGGACCGATGATTCCTCAGCGGCGGGAACCTTAATATGCTACATAAAAGCCTGAAGGCAAGTAATAATATTAATACGAATAATGCACAGACATGGTAGTGTACACTTTTAATCCCAGCACTCAGAAGCAGGCGATTCTCTGTGAATCTGAGGCCAGCCTGGTCTATGTAGAGAGTTCCAGGCCAATCAAGGAGACCCTGTCTACATACATACATACATACATGCATACATACATGTTGGGGGAAGTCCTGTGCATTTGTCAATAAAGTACTGTTGAGCCTATAGGAAACCTAGATAGGAGGGACTAGGAGTCCAGGAGAACTCTGGGAAGGGGAAACACAAGAGAGTCGACATGTAACGCCGGGTAGGAGCCCGGAAACTTCTCCGGTAAGAAACATACTTAGATTAGCAATTATGGGGTAATTACTTAAGGCAGAGCTAGCCAGTAAGAGACAAGCAAGGCCAACAGCTTCATGATGAATATAGCCTCCTGTGTGTTTATTTGGGACTGATGCGGATCCAGAACCAGGCTGGCGCGGCAGAGCCCAGGCGACTGGCGGGGGATAAACCAAAGCGGCTAGCAAAAGAAAAAGATTCTCATAACACATACATACATACATACATGCCAAAATAGAGCTGTAGAGAGCAACTGCTATGGGGTGGCTGTGCTTGAAGCTGGTTCTTATGATGGTGTGCTGACAGACTACGAAACCTTCAGAGGAGGGATCTGGGGTGGCGGGGGGACTCCTTGGATCACGGGACAGGTGTTTCCTCCGATACTGAATAGCCATCCTCAGAGAATGGTTAGAAAGGCCTGTGTCACCTTTACTTCTTGTTCCAAGGTGTGGCCTTTCTCTTCTGCATCTGCCACACCCACACACAGGAGCCCCGCACTTTGCTCACTGGACTCACAGCATCTAAAACTGGAAGCTAAATCTCATCCTGCCTCAAGTATTTAATTATAGTCATGAAAAATGGACTAACAGGCTGATTAAACAAAACAAGGGACTTACAGTATTACAAAGCATGCAAAAAACAATAGACAAACTAGCTGTGGCTGGAAAACCAGTGGTTTGCCTGTACAAAACCACAAGGACTGTTCATCAGAGAAAGGTTGATAAGCAGTGAAGACCAAGAACCTCCAGAACCTCGTCCTTGGGTTGAGAACCAAGCAGACACCACAGACAGTGCCTACAAAGACACAGGTAAGAAAAGTTTCTGGAACTACAGTGCGCTCTGACTTTTTGGGCCACACATATGCCATTCACAAGCAAACTAATGAGGAAAAATGCCCAGTTAAGACTCAATTAAACCACTGAACTTCAAGATAAAGAAGGTGAGAGCAATGCCACCAAACAGCGTCAGCCTTCTTCAGCCATTTTCCTAAAGATCCTGAAGAGGTAGCAGAAGCTGCCAAGTTTTTAATAACTTAAATCTCCTCTATTAAACATATTTTAATTTAAAGGAAAACCTGGTCCAAGAGTATCATTCCTAACCAACTTCCTGTCAGACTATGAAACAACCAACCTACACACTCACATGTGAAGACTCCCTGGATGACAACGTCCATGAGGCCAAACTACAGCAAACTGACACTGAACTAAAGAGACACTTGGGAGAGGAAGAATATTGAAATGGGAAGTGTTTTCAGGTCCCAATATGAACAATAAATAGCAAAGGGCCCAAGGACTCCGGGGGTCACACCACAGTGGGTCCTTTGGGTCACAGAGGTACTGTTGGCCTTGCATTCAGGATTGCTTCATGTCCCACTAGGTCTGAAGCTATGGTTAAGATCCATCAACTGATGCCTGTTTTGGATTCTGGATTTGTCCAGCGAAAGTATGGGGCACAGATGGGCCAGCCAGTACCACTGGGGGGACGTTGCACAGTACTGATGGGAAAAGGGAAGAACCAAGGAAGGCGACTGAGAATGTGGCCGTATGAGTTGTCTTGGGACGACCTTTCAGGGAGTATGACTGGAGCTGATATGAAGAAAGGAGAAAGGGAGGGGCTCAAGCTCCTGGAACCTTTAGTCCCCGAACTCCATGCTTCAGGACCCTGGAACGGCACATCCATGGACCGTGTTCTTCAAGGACTGTCTGGGTCTGCTGCTTGTCCTGGCAGACATCCTGTAGGTCATCAAGTCCTCCGGCATCCTCCTGGCACGTCTGTTCATGGAAGAAGATAGGCTGGGGTCTGAGATTCTCATTAAGATTGACTGATGCCTTACCTCTCTGGTTCTAGAAGGTCTGGAGACTGAGCTAGACACAGTACAGGCAGTGGAAAGACTCCCATCTGCGTCTTCTCCTGAAGAGCAGACAAGTGCAGTCCTACCCCCAAGGAAAAGGAACCCAGATCACTTCCTGGTGGTGATGTCACAGGTCCCGGACATTCTACGTATCCAGGAGACAAGGCCGGGGAAGCTGAAGACCTTCCAGGGAAGGGCCTCCTCCTTCTGCTGGAGGGACCATGGCAGCGAACAGAGGAGTGGGGACCTTCGTATCTGTCTTCCTTCTGTGCTGCTGGCAAGACGTGCAGCCCTGGCCGAATAGAGAGTTTTCAGGTAGAGTCCCCAGGAGACTGGCAGATAGAAAACCGTAGGCACGAACCAGGCGGGTAATGCGTTTCTCTGCGATTGTTTGAAAGTGTCCCCTCTTATATTCCAGGTGTTGAAATGGCAGTAGTAAGAGCTGGGATCTTCATGGTAATGAAGCCATGAGGGCTCTCCCTAGTGACCTGGTTAAGGCCTCTGCCAAAAAGGTCTCTGTAGTAGCACGTTACTGGTTTGCCAAGGACATGCAGCAGCCGGACATTGTTCTGGAGCCAGGAGTAGCCCTCCCTAAGCACCACACCTGCCGTAGTGTGAGGAATAAATTTATATTCTCTATGATGACAGGGCATCAGGTCTTTTGTTATAGCAGCACAAACGGACTAAGGTATTCTCCTTCCTGCCTTTGCAAATTTACCACTGAACCAATTCCAGCTTCTATCTATGAAGCACTTTGAAATTCTGCAAATCTATGGGAGAACACTTCTACTCTGTGGTTTAACTTTCATTAACTTGCAGAAATATCCTAACTCACCTATAAGTAAGGGAAGGATGACAAGAACCTCAGGATGGGTTGATGTTCTTGAATTTAAATGACTGTGAACATTTTGCTAGTTTATTTTAGCTTGTTCTTTGGTATTTCTTCTAACATGGCACACACATCCATGAAGCCATATGTGTATACGTGTGCACATGCATAAGGAGACTTAGAGGGTGACACTGTCATCTATCGATCGCCACTACATATTTTGAGATATAACTCAACTCGGAGCTCAGTGACTGGTTAAACTATCTGGGCAGCTACCTCTGGGGCCACCTGTCCCTGTCCTCCCAGGCCTGAGGTTACAGATGTGCACCACCACGCCCAGATGTTATGTGGGTGCTAGGGACATGAACTCAGGTCCCCATGACTGCATGGCAGGCACTTCACTGATTCCTTCCCATTTCCTGAGGTTCCTGTCATCCTTCCTTTACTTCTAGGTAAGTTAGAATATTTATGTAAGTTAATGAAAGTTAAAACACAGACTAGAACAATTGTCCCAGAGATTTTACAATGCCCTCACTTAAGTTCTCAAGGTAGAATGCAAACATTCCTTATCAAGACCTATTTTGAATAGTCCTTAGCTGGCAGAATCTGTCTCCCTCTGAAACCTCAAGAACCAGGAGTCCTTGTTTCTCTAAGCATTCTTTCTTAAGGTTTGGTAGAATTCAGCAGCAAATCATTCTGGACCTGGGGTTTTCATAATTGGGAGTTTTTACTATTATTATCACTTCTTCAATCCCGTTGCTTTTTTCCATCTATTTAAATTTTCCCTGATTTTCTGAATCTCATTGTTATCTGTTACAGTGCCTACCTTTTAATCTCTAATTTTATGTATTTAGGTCTTCATTTCCTTTGGTAAATTTGGCTAACGGTTTGCTAGTCTAACTTTTCAAGGAACAAACTCTTTTATATTGTTTCTTCATTTCTATTCATCTCTTCTACTTTGATCTTGATGATTGGATCCTGCTTCTTCTTGCTTTTCCAAGACCTACAATTAATCGTCGAATTATTTATCCGAGCTCTAATTTTTTTTAGCATAGGCCCTTACATAAAGCCCCTCTTTAAAAATAAAATGACATGTATTTGTTTAATTAGCGTGTATGTGCATGCGCACGCCGCAGTGTGTGTACAAAGGTCAGAGGGCAGCTCGCCAGGAAGCAGGTGCTCTCCTCCTATCAGGCTTGGTGTCTTCGCCTGCAAAGCCATCCAACTGCCCTTCACGCTTCCTCATAGAAGTGCTTTTAGTATATCCCACAGGTTTCAGTAGATTCTAACTCACACTCAATTCTAGGATTTATTCTTCCTTCTGGATTTCTTCGATGATTCATCATACTAAGGTTGTATCTCTTTGACAGATGTGTTTCTTGGAGGCAATGCCTAAGGTGAATCCTGCTTTTTAATCCAAACTGCTGAGTTGTGTCTCTGGATTGGAGAATGGAGGCCAGTCATTACTGCAAGGTGTAATGGTTACCACTGATTGTAAACCTCAGAAAATCTGGAAGCACCCAGGAGACAAGGTCCTGAGCTGTCACTGAGAGCACAGTGCTCTTTTCTGAGGCTCTCTGTCCTCTGCTGTGGCTCAGGTCCCTTGCAATGGGAAGGGAGAGATCCCCAGATTTCATCAATCTCTCTAGCCGACAAACCTCACTCCTGGTATTACAGCAGTTTCACTGAAATCAGGGGTAGACAGTTCCATTTTGGCCTGTGTGTCCATATTTTCACCAGGACTTTGTGTGTGGGGAGTATCTGCTATTTTATTACTGAATAGGCTTCCAGTCACTTACTTAGTACCCATCATTTCCTTTTAAATGGTTGGTTTTGCTTCTGGAATTTTTTTGCGGGGGGAGGTTGTAGTAGTTTGAATAAGAATGTCCCCTACAGGCTCATATATTTGAATGCTTAGTCTTCCGGGAGTGGCGCTATGTGAGAAGGATTACTGAGGCCCTAGAGTAAGGTGTGGTCTTGTTATAGGAAGTGTGTCACAAGGGGCGGTCTTTGAGGTTTCAAAAGTCCCAGCCGGGCCCAGTGTTGTTCTTTCTGTCTGCCTGCAGATCAGAATGCAGTGCTCAACTACTTCTCCAACCCCATGCCTGCCACCGTGTCCCCTGCCGCCATGTCCCCTGCCACCATGATAATGGACGAAGCCTCTGACACTAGAAACAAGCGCCCAAAGAAATGCTTTCTTCTGTAAGGGCTGTCTTAGTCGTGGTGTCTCTTCACAGCAATAGAACAGTGACTAAGACATTTTTGTTTGTTTTGTTGAGACAGGGTCTTACTGGACAGCCCTGGCTGGCCTGAAGCTTGCTATGTAGACCAGGCTGGCCACTGACATACAGAGATCAGCCTCCCTCTGCCTTCCAAGAGCTGGGATTAACTGCAAGTGTCACTACACTTAGTTAATTTGTTGATTTTGTATTTAGTTTATTCTGCCTTTCTTTGTATTTTCTTAGTGTGGTTACACGCCAGCCTTGGCTTCAAGCCCCGAACAGTCTCTCTTTCACTTGATATAATGTTTCTGTGAGGTTTTCTACCATGTTCTTGTGTGACTTGCTGGGTGTTTCTTTTCCAGGTGTCCAGCTGTCTGTTTTTCACAACTTCCAGCTCCTTACTGAAATACTTCTATGTCCAACGTTGTCATCTGTGATTTGTTCAGCTATTTATTTATAGATCCCTTAAATCATTTTTGTCGTTTCATCACTTTACTTATCTTTAGAGCTAGTCACTGGAGAGTCATAAACTTCGGAAGAGTCGTGTCACCCTTTGTTCTCGTGTAACTTGTGTTTCTGTGTTGACATCTATCTGTGCATCCGTGGGGATGGATATTTCTTCCACTGTCACGCACCACCTTCTTAGAGAGCAGCCTGGTTTTTTTAATAGTATTTTTTTAATCTTTGAAAGTTCCATACACACTTCACAGCGTAGACCGACCATATTCATCTACCGCTACTTCCTTCCAGCTCCATGGAGTGCCCCCCCACATAACCCCAAGTCCAATTGATGTTGCTCATATACACATGATAAGTAGTCAAGCTACTGGGCATGAGCAACCTACTAGTGACCTCATCCTAAGGAGAGAGTGACTCTCCCTTGCTCAGCAGCCATCTCCTCTGGGACTTGGGACTCCTTCCATCCATGCTGGGATTTTGGCTAGCTTAACCCTGTGAGGGTCGCCAAGGTGAGCCTGTGCTTGATGTATTTTGGAATCTTGGTTTGTTGTATGCCTTTCACTTGAACCCCTACTGAACCTCACAGTCTCATTTCCATGTGGACTCTTTGGCGGTGGTGAGTGGGTTTGACACAGTACGTTATTTCCTTCTTGGTTCGTCTCACAAGAGCACTGTCCCTCTAGCAGTTCAGGAAAGTATAATACCACCAGCTGGAAACATGGTATGTGCCACCACCACCTCTGGACTTGCCCACAGTGTATGAGCTAACGGGACATGAGGTCTATCTACAGTGAGGTCTTTGAGAGGTTCAGGTTCAAAGTCTTCGTACTGCTAGTTCCTGCTATTGCTGTGATGTGAATGGTAGGAGTGGACTTCAGCTCTCCTACATTTAAACATACTTGGCTTATGTTGAGTGGGCTCCTATCTTCCCTAGTCTTTAAGTTAAAGAATCTACCAATGTATGGTTGGCCTCCCTCTTTCATAAAGAAACATAGCCAGGGCAAAGTATTCCATATCGACCGGTGTCAGAGGACCCAGACTAGGCACAGGGTTCTGGTCCTCACAAGTGTCTCTGCCAGTCCTCACAAGTGTCTCTATTCCTGTGCACAACTCTTGCCTGTGCCTGAGATTTCCTCAACGGTGTTCGTTAAGGAATTTGCTCTCAATGCTGTCCAGTCATTTATTTTCTCCTAAGACCTGGTCAAAACTGGGATGGCATTCACGATCTTCTCTAGTTTGAAACTGCAATGAACCCTTGGGGGCCGTCGTGATATCCATCAGTTGTAGAATGGTAGAACTGTTCCCACAAGGTCTAGGCTGTGTGTGGTGGCACACACCTTTAATTCCAACCCTCCAGAGACCACGGTATGCAGTTCTCTGAGTTTAAGACCAACCTGGTTTACAAAGCAAGTTCCAGGGCAGTCAAAGTTCTGTAGAGAGACCCTGTACAAAAACCAGACAGACAGACAGGTAAAAGAAAAACAAACCTCACAAGAGATCTAGCCACAACCATGTATGACTCTCAAGGTCTCCCTAGCCTAAGACCTAGCCATAGCCCTCCAGGACCCCCAAGGTCTTCTGAGCTTGAGACCTGCCCACAGCCCTGTGTGACTCCCAAGGTCTTTCTAGACTTGAGATCTGACCATATATCCCTGTGTGATCCCCTTCCCCCAAGGCCTTCCTCAGGGGCCAATGAAAGGAAAATTTCTCTGTTGCCCTGAGAGTACCACAGTTATCCTCACCCCATCCTGGGATGCTCTTACTGCTTGCCAGGAGAAGAGCTGTGACTGCAAGCATGTGTGGTTTCCTCACGGGAAGATGCTATCCACTTAGAAGAAGGAGAGCCGTTGGTGTGAGCCCTGTGATGAAGGGTTCTGACTCAGTTCACTCAACTAACTGGAGTGAACTCCGAAAGCAACAGTGAACTTTCCTGGGGCCAGAATGTGCTGACTCGGGCACTGAGAAGACTTCAGAGTGTTCTGACCTTGTGGGTGTGTGCTGTCTGGAAGCTGCGACTTTCAGGAGGAGGTGACAACAGGAAAAGCACGGTAGAGCAGCTACATCTGACAAGGCGCGTTAACAGGCGTGGACAACACCAGCATACACACCACGCATGTGCGCACGCTGACTTGCACAATGCTTCCATTGTGATTACGGGACAGACGCAAGATGAAAAGAATATTTTTAACAAAGTGCTGGCGCTGCGCAGCTGTACCCATTCGTAATGTTCCATTAATGTCTCATGCAAAGAGAACTATACTGTATTTGCTTCATTTACCAAGGTCAGCACACTGGGAAGCAATTGTCATCACCATCACAGACCTCCTTACATATTTCCCATTGTCCTGAGCCATGCAGATGAGCACATTGGGATGCAGATTGTCCATCATTAAAGCCTTTGAGAACAGCTTTTTCATTGGTTTAGCTGCAACTTTAGTTATCCCAGACAGAGCTCTGTGCCTCAGAAAGGGAAGGTATGGTGGCCCTACTTGCCATCTTTGGGGGTCCCAGGACCTGGGAGTTGGAAGAAGAGGCCAACCCTGAGCTCAAACTAAGCGATGTACCAGATGAAGAGACACCACAGCCCCTGAGATAAACAAAGGTCGTGTCAGAAGGAGGAAGCGTGTGCCAGATGCTGCAGAAGAGAAACTGGTCCTCAGAAGTCCCACAGTGTCCAGATATAGCTAGACCTTATGAGCCCAGCATAGCTCTTCCTGTCCATCATGGAGCAGATGTCACAGATATGACAGCCCCGGAGACAACTGCCATCCAGATCGCTTCAGCTCACTCATCAGAGACTCCACTTCTTACCAGCAGACAGACCACCCAGGAGGGCTCTCCTCACACAGGAGGAATGAGGTGACCAGCCTCTGGCCCTCCCCTCCTCCTGAGAGAAACTCAGGTAGCACCAGTGAGTGTGACGGTCACCCAGGGGCTAGGATAAAAACACTTAGGAGGTGTTTTCTTGTCACAGGACAAAGCGAGTGTTTGGCTGGCGACATGGAAAAGCCTTAGTCAGAGGCTGGGCAAGTGCTTCTTCTGTGTGCCAAGCTGGGCTCTGGGCTGCTATGGGATCCCAGGCTGGAGTTTCCTGGCCTGGTGACCACTCAGATGGTATCACCAGCCATGCAGGAGGCAAAGCGCTGCTTCCTACAAAACAAAGCATGTGACCCTCTTCCTTCTTTGCCCCTGAGATAGAGCTGAGTTGTCCCTGAGTGTGGACACTGTCTTACCATCCACAAGGGTGACTCCAGTGACCAGGAGCGCAGGTTCTACTCAGGACACCTGGGGAGATCATGGGTTCCACCCACACAGCAGTCCCATGGGTAATACCTTTCCCATCTTCCATATGAGAAACTCGAGTCCTGGAGGGCTTCCCTCAGCACACATGGGAAAGAGCAGCACCCTCCACAGGCTCCTTCCTCTAGAGCAGGCTGGGGCCATCCCTCACAACTTCCCGTTCACAGAGAGGGAGGTGAAAACCAATGAATGCTGTAAAACTATAGGACTGTTTTTCTTATTTCCCTATCAGGTTCAAGTTCTGAACAACTGCCAAGTTTAAAAAATATGGATGACGATATAGCTACAGTGTTTGGTAAGGACTCCCCAGGTGGAACACCTGCTCCATGGTGAGGGCGGGTGGGCGCTCAGCAGGCCTTTCCCAGACACCTGGTGTCAGTCACAGGAAGTGATTTGGTTTGAGGTCGGAGTCACGTTCTTGGGGCCCACGGCGTTAGTGCTGACTAAGTTACTGAAGTCAGAATGGCTGTCAGAACCGGACACGCATGGAGCTTTGCCTCTCGGAGTGGTGTCCAGACAGCAGTAGTCTTCACCCGCAGACTCGTTTCAAACACCCTGCTCAGGCCTCCCACAATAGAAGCCGCATTTAGCCGGCTACATTGACACAGTAGACCTGGGGCCAAGGGACAGCCCCTCAAACTCCTCGGTCCCCAGGAAGGTGGTGAGGACCTGGCCTCTACCCAGGATTCCAGCCTCTGTGGCCTTGCCTGGACATGGTTACCTCAGGGTTTCCTACAACTCTCCAGTAAGGGCTCTGGGCACAGCAAGTTGTGGACCATTAGTCCGGCCCACACTGTCCCTCAGAGGCAGAGTACAGCATGGAAACAAGGCCAAGTGGTTGATGGGGTGCTCAGTCTTCAGCGCAGAGCCTACACAGTCCAGTGTGTACTTCACACCCAGGGGCCAATTCTGCCTGGACCAGCTACATTCCCTTCTGGGTCCACATGCCCAGGTCTGTCCTGAGAACTGTGCTCACCACTTGGTACCACCCCTCACTTTACACTTGGTAAACTGAGGCCTGGAGAAGCCGTCTGAGCAGAGTTGTGACTTGTTTCTTAATACCCTGAGACACTGTGGGAAAGGGGTCACCTCTGGGCATCTATCTGCCCATGGCCACCTGTCAAATGGGGTCAGGAGTAAACTAAGGGAGCACAGGACATGGCTACGAGGCTGCTCTCAGATCTGAGCCTCGTCAGAAGGGTCCTGATGGGAATGGAGATGCTACCAGGTGACAGGGCCCCTCCCAAGAGGGACCTCTCCAGGAAGGTCAGCTCTGCTCATTTCTGAGTCTGGACTGGGGTGGGGAATCATCACGGTCTCACCAGCTGGAGTGGTCACATGAATGAGTGAACCAATGCTCCCAGCCAATGCTCACCTATGCTACCCTGTCTACCCTCCTAAGCTACTCCCACGTCACATACAGGAGACCTGGCTCCCGCCCAGCAAGAGGCCTCATCCTCTGACCCCACAAAGAGTGGTTCACACATAAGCTTCAGGTGGCTTCCTGGCACTGTCCCGGGTCAGGGTGGCCATCGTGTTGCAGAGGCAGAGGCAATTTCCAGCTGCTGTTTATTTAGCTCCCACGATGATCTCCACACAACGCTGGGTGCTGTTGACTTTATAAAAGCCATGAGACACAGCCGGGCAGTGGTGGCACGCCTTTAATCCCGGCACTCGGGAGGCAGAGGCAGGCCAGTCTCTGAGTTCAAGGCCAGGCTGGTCTACAGAGTGAGTGCCAGGGCAGGCTCCAAAGCTACACAGAGAAACCCCGTCTCGAAAAACAAAAACAAAAACAAAAAGCCATGAGATAAACAAGCACCCCATTTTACAGAAGTTCACTGACAGCTAGCAACACAAAGAAACTCATCCTTGTTCCTATCTGAGTGAGAAAAGAGCCAGAATGGGAGCCAGACTTGGTTGGATACAAAGTCCAGCTCAGGAGGCAGAGGCAGGCGGATCTTCGAGATCAAGGCCAGACTGGTCTACAGAGTGAGTTCCAGGACAGCTCGAGTTACACTACACCAAAGAAAGGCTGGACGTGTGCAGAAAACAAGGAAGTTATTCTGTAGCACTTGAGGGTTATCAGGAAAGAATGGTCATAGAACAGAAAGTGAATCATGACCAGGGCCAGGGCTATGTTTTGGTACTGTGTCTTTAAAGAGTGTATTAGATTTCTCTCACATTGGACAAAATGCCAGAAATAACCACTTATAAAGAGAGGAGATTTATCTGGGTCAGTTTTGGGGATCTAGTCCTTGTTTAGTTGGCTCTGTTGCTCTGAGCAACCGGTCACACTTCAAGGTGCAGGTGTGTAATGGTAGAAAACATTTACTTCATGACCAAGGAGCAAAAGAGACAAAGGGGACCAGGATCCTACCACCTCCTTTGTAGATACCCTGGTGACCTAAAGACCTCCCTCTAGGCTCCACCTTTGAGGATCAAGCCTTTGGGTACTGAGGGACGGTCAACATCTGGCTGACGGGTTTCCTGAGGAGAAACTCACATAATCTCAGTCTTTCTGAATTTCGGGAGGTGGAAGTATGGCCAGCCTCCCCAGATGAGTTCTCCAGCGCAAAGGCCACTGTCCACAAGCTCCTTGAGTTTTCTAGTCACAGTGTGACAGGCTGCCTGACGTTCAGTTCTTCAGAGAATATCTGCCCTGCGCCACTGGCTCTGTAACACGTCCTTGTGTGCTTTTCCCAAGATGAAATTCTCGTCCGGGAGATTTTGGAGCCAGGGAAAGCATCATATTTTGAAGGTCAAAGCCCATCAACAACTTCAGAGCCAAAAACAACGAAGGAAAAAAGCAAGTACAACCTTTCTACCCCACAGCCGCAAGTAGTTTTAGACCCAGGGTGCTGACCACAGGGCCCTAGTCCATGAGCACTCACCAGATTCAGCCGTATCTGGGCAGGGGCGAGTGCACACGAGGCCACTGTTATGGTGGAGGTGTCGGAGTCACTGCCGAGGCAGAAGGTGGCTTGCTTCCCGCTGGCGTGATCTCTGGGTTACATCCGTTCTTAGGCCCTGGATGTGAGTAGGGTTCAGCCACTGCAGGAACACAGACTCAGGGATGAGCCGGATCGGTAGTTTAACGCACGCCATCTCCTCGTGCTCACCGACGGCTAAGGGCAGCCTCCTGTTACCCCATATGGTCAAATAAGACTTAGGTCCAGGGGAGCAGGGACAAAGACGAAGCGGGGCTCCACACTGTGAGCCTGCGTGGGCAGATGGGCGTAACAGGGCATGAGGGAAGAAGTCGCCAGACAGTGGCGAGGAGAGGCTTCGGGGAGGCGCATTCAGAGGCAGGAACGCTCAACACTTCCCAGGAGGTTTTAGTTCAGAAATAACTAGATTCTAAGGGTTTGTTCATCGTATAGCAGCCCAGTGCCAAACCACCAGGCTCAAGGTGGTTGGATGACACCTGACTATTTAAAGATTAACTTTCCAACACATATTTCAAGTAGAACTTAGACACTGTGCCATCCTTCCAGGTTAATGTTGTAAAATAGGGCTTGGGCTAGAAATGGTCACAAGCCTGTAACAGGAAAACGCTTCCCTGTTTTGTTTTGTTTTCTCTATGTTCTCCATCAAAGAAGCCCACAGGAAAGACTTCAGTGCTCCTAAGAGGCATGAGGAGAAGCAGCTCCCTCCTGGGACCCTAGATGCCATGTCCTTTGATGGTAAATGTACCCCACAAACCCCTTCCTGGGCTCAGAACCTAACTGGGGAGCCCTAGCTGGGTGCAGATGGATGCTTCTGCTTGGGTGAGGTGAGAACAGAGATTCTTCTGCTGGGGTTGCTGGCTGCTGGCTAGGTAGGGTTCCTACTGTGTCCTGAGCCTCAGGATGTCCCGAGTGTCTAGTCCTGCCCTGGGGCACAGCTCCCTAGCCCCACACCGGGTTTGACCCTCCAGAACCCAGACCAGACTAGCCCAGAGGAAACATCTTCTTGTGAGTGGGCAGTTACCAGAAAAGAACGCAAGCTTTGTCCTCTCCCAGAGACTTCCAACTGAATCGCTTCTTCCTGAATAGAAAAGGTAGCAGGGCAGATAAAGTGTCCCCCTCTGGGGCAGAGCAGGAATTGGGGAAGAAAACCCTCCCTCCATCACGAGTCTGCCACCACTGACACCTACAGAAGACACAGTTTTTCACTGTAAAGAACAGATATAACGAGGGATATGCATGTATGTGTAGCACAGGATGTGCATGTACACTGCCCATAGAGTAGCCCCATGCGGGGCCTGACTGTGGCTGCAGGTGTAGGAGAGGGAATGTACAACTGCATTGAATGGGCCTAGGAAACTGCATTGCAATCCTCTGTGGCTTCTCCAGATGCTGAAGCATGGGATGGCATGCTTGGCATAAAGAAGAGCACAGGTCTATTTATAATAAGTGTTCTGATACCGGAGTTTGTCCCACTCGCGAGTTTGATGACATTAGCTGATGTAGATCAATAGGAAAGGATTCTTCTGGAAGCTGCCTATAGTCAGAGAGGGGACAGGTGATTCCATAGGACACAGGATGGCCTATGTAAAAGCAGACTGAGAGAGATAGAACAGCCTTATGGGTAAGGAGATGAGACTATAACATAGGGAGAGGGGACCCTGAGGTACCACCAGAGCCCTGGAGCTGGCTATACCCCTGGGGACAGTGTGATTGCTCACTGAAGTCAGCAATATCCAAAACCCATCTGGTATGTTGCTTGTACTGCTGCCCGAGTCTAAGGTCTGATCCATGGCCACTACATGGAGTCCCTCCCTCCCCAAGTAGTCCCTGAGATGCATCCCCAGCAACCAAGCCAAATCTCTTCGGGGCCTGACTGAAAATTCATATGAGTTATGACTTCATGACAAAGAAGGTGCGGGCCTGGTTGGAGGAGATTTGGAGATCATCAGAGACAGTGTGACAGCCTGGTGATAGGAAGACAGAGTACCCAGAAGAAGAAGGTGACAGAGTAGGAAGGAGGGCCCTTGGGCTGCCTGGTGTGTCCTAGGGAAAGGAGACCGTAGGTCTCAGCAGCAGCAATGTGGACAGAGCCCTCAGGTCCCTGGAAACCCCTGCCAGGTGATGAAGGCTAGGCAGATCTTAGAGACAGAAGGCAGGCAAAGGTCTCCATCCACTGTTTCCATGTTCTTGTCTTAGACAAGAAGAATTCAAATAGACAAGATGTGAACTGGAAGGAGGTTTTATTAGCAAACATATCTAACATGGGGCTGGAGAAATGGCTCAGCCATTGAAAACATTTGCTGCTCTTACAGAGGCCCTGAGTTTGATTCCCAGCACTCATGTCAAACAACTCACAACTGGAGATCTAACACCATCGCCTGGACTCCACAGACACCTGCACATGTATGATTCATATATCCATACACATATTCATGTGCGCGCGCACACACACACACACAAGTAAAAATGTTTTACAACAAATCTTCAAAGCAAGAGCACACATTCAGGAGTGATGGCTAAGCTTCATACAGGAGTTGTACTTCACAGGCTTTGTACTGAATCTGGGGGGTGTGACAGGGTGACACAGGTCGTTCTGATATGGAGACCTGACGAGAACTGCTTTGGTCCTGTATCTTGTCATGGTACAGGTCTTTCCGCACAAGGCTCATTCTGACCACTGTGAACCCCACATCCTGATTTTTACTCCTCTTCCTCAGTTCTGGTCAGTCCCTATTTCAGGCCTCTAGGACACAGAGGGACGGTTGTGGCCATGCAGCTTCTTGCCACGGTCACATCATGGACTCGGGTAGAGCAGAAGTAGAAGTCAGTGTGGCAAGGCCAAGTGCAGCAGGCTACCTTCAGCCCCAGTGCCAGGTCCTCTGCTGGAGCCCCTCCCGGGGAAAAGAATTCCAGACTCAACCAGGGGAGTGAGCAAGCTGCGAGCATTACTGGACCTGGAGGCTGCCCTAAGCTCTCAGTCTCTGAAACAGCCAGGAAGCCAGGCCCACATGCCAACCGGGAACCTTTGTTTGAATGGGGAGCTCATGGCCTCTTGATGTCTAGAAGATTATCAAAGCTGCAGCCCCTGCCCAGAGCTGCCTCGGGTACAGCAGGTACGCAGTGCTGAGTAAAAGGCATCCGTCTTTGCCAGTGGTGCTGTGCCCTCTGCCCAAAGCTGAGGACACAGAGAGCAGAGGACAGGAGGGGAGCTGCAGGCCCCGGAACCCTGATGTCAAACTCAGATGTAGCACACTGTTCCGTGTCACCTTGATCTTCACATGGACCTTTCTGGGTGTGCATCGCCCAGCCAAGAGCTGTGTGACAACGACCCAGGGTAGCCAGTGTGTGCCAGCCTGCTAGAGAACGAATGTTTCCAGCCCTGTCCCGTGGAAACCCTGCTCTGGCTGCAGGAGAAGCGGGGGAGGAGGGCTGCTCTGGCTGCAGGAGTAGGGGGGCTGCTCTGGCTGCAGGAGAAGCGGGGTGTGGGGGGACCAGCCCCGTGTCTGGTTGCTGCAGGGGTACATGGGTGGCAGAGGGTGTGAGGTGATGCAATACCTGTAGCATTTCAGCTTGCAACAGAGGGTCCCAAGGAAAAGTAGAGGCATGTGGCCTGGGGGCTAACTGGCCCCTCAGAATCTCCCTGGCTTAGGACAAGGCAATGCGTCTCTCTCTGGGAAAGGGCTGAGATGTTCCTAGAGCTCTCATGTCAGAGATCATCTGGGGCCTTGCAGCTGTGGAGACAGCAGGAAGGAAACTGAAGAAAACACACTGTGGCCTCCACTACAGGCTAAGGGTTAGGGTTAGGGTTAAGGTGACCGATGTAAACAGATGCTTGTTTGCCAAGCGCTGCTGAGGGAGGGAGACTAGCGATCTGTGGTGGCCTGCCTGGGAGGAGAAATGGGCTGCTTATATGGTCATGTCACCTAGGGAACAAGGATCAGGAAAAAACCCAGGCCAGGTTAAAAGAGAAAGAGAGAGCAAGGCGCTTAAAATAGCACCCATTGTGACATTTTAAGCTTACAAAAAAAAAAAAACTTCAGAAGTGTCACAAAGAGCTTGTAAATTCATTTCCCAGCACTTCAAGGTCAGTGGCTGGTAATCAGGGTGCAGACATTCATTCCTGCAAATCTCTTAAATAAGCCATGAGCACTAGCTACAATAGAAACAAATGAACAATGACAAAATCCCAGGTCTTGCTCCCTTCATGGGGGGCACAAGAGAGTTCATTCTGAGACCAGATATGAGTGGCCACAGCCCAGGAGCATAGATCCAGGTCACCCCAAATCCCATGTTCAAACAAGTTCACAGTTTCACCAAGTTTTTACAGTAACAGTACAAAGGAAGTTGCACATCCAGACACTGTTAAAAATACATCAGTGGAAGCCAGGTTGGCAGTACAGACGAGCGAGACATCTCTGCTACACAGCTCGACACTATCTGAGGACATTCTTAGCTTCTGGATCAGCGGAAGCCAAGGGTCTGTTTATACACTCCAGAAGGTTTTACCTAATAGTCACAAAGATGTTAGTCAGACACTGTGGTGGGGAAGGAATGGCTAGGAAGGGGTAAAAGACGCCCACATAGACTGCATTAGGCTTACAGCATTCTAACTTCTCCACGACAACTGTAGTTCCGACAGCCAACCTGCCACGCAGAGGTTCACATGAGGCATAGCTCTTCCTGGGAACTCTGGTTCACATGCACACACCATGTGCAAACATCACCCCCTCTAGTGCCTCAGTGTCCCCAACATGGCTGCTCCCTCATCCACTGTGTCTCTGATGACTTCAAAGAACGCTGGCCAGTTCCTCCGTGGAACGGCTTTCAGTTTGGGTTTGTGAGAATTCTCCTGCCTCCAGGATTTTAAAACATTTCATTTGGCCCTGCAGCTTCATTTGTTTGATGGCGAGTGGCTATGACTGTTTGAATTTTCTAGCTCTCCTGGTGGCCACAGGGCAGCAGGCTACAAACATGCTCATATGGTATATGCTCGCTCTGTATTTTGAGACCCAGGTGGCCTAGTTTCAAAAAGCTTGCAGTTAAACAGTAACTATGGGGTCTATTCACTGTTCTTGACTGTTTCCACAGACGAAGAGAGAGAAACACTTTTTCAGATGAAAAGCCTTGACGCTCTGGAGAAAATCATTGACACTATTCGAAGAGCTATTGGTAAGCAAAAGCTATGACATCATCCCATGGGCAGGGTTCCTGGTAATGGCGCTTGCTGCCAAACCCGCAACCTGACTTCTGTCCCTGGGACCCACGTGCTAAAAGCGAACACAATACTTGAGTTGTGTACATGTGCGTGCATGCACGCTCTGGTGCTCTCTCTCTGTCTCTCTGTCTTGCTCTCTCTCACGCACGCACACAAGCACACACACACAGCCACTCACACAGGCACATACACACACATGCAATTTTTAAAAAGGAGAAAGTGGGCATGCATGTCTCTCTGCTTCCTGGCTTTGTGAATGCAGACTGACCAATACCTCATGCTCCTGCCTCCATGATTTCCAGCCATAATTGTTCCCGTTTGTACCTGGATGGCACCTGAAGTCACAGACACATCCAGAACCCCATCCAGAGCCACTGATATTAGACACTACAGGGTCTGGCACAGGCTGTGGCGACAAACAGCGGGATACTCACATTTACTCACGAAAATCTCTTCCCTGACAGGAACTCATCTCAAGAAAAAACGGAAGTTTCAGAAAAGCAGGAGAATCAGACAACTCCTGGGGAAACTAACCTAGCCCTAAGTACCAGGACTGGCAGAGGGGACAGCCACTGCCTGCCCGCACCTGGGGACAGGACAGAGTGAGAGCAGCCACAACCGTGCGTGAAGGAGAACTGCACTCAGTGAGCAGCAAATAAAATTAGAGTATTTAAATATTAAGTTACCACACACGGCTTTTTTGATTCATTTCTTTTATTATATTTTTATTAATGAGGACGGAAGAGAGGGCATGGGAAGGGTGTGGAAACCTAGTGCCGTGGAACCACCTGGAATCTATGAGCTGACCGCAGTGAGGACTCCTAGTAAAGGAGGATCCAGAGCCTGCACTGCCCATCATCTGCAGCTAGCTGTGCCGGCTGGTTTTACGTCAACTTGACACACAAACTAGTATTAGCTAGAAGAGGAAACCTCAGCTGAGAAAACACCTGTGTAAGAGCCAGCTGTAGGACATTTTCTTAATTAGTGATTGATGGGGAGGGCCCAGCCCACTGCAGAAGGGGCCACCTCTGGGTGTCCTGGCTTCTATAAGAAAACAGGCTGCTCTTTTCTGAGAGAAAGGGGAGGAGCAGTTGATGGGGTGGCCTGTGGAGTGGAGGAAGGGGGAGGGAGGCTGTGGTCAGGGTGTATGTATGAGAGAAGAATAGGAAGGAAGGAAGGAAGGCAGGCAGGCAGGCAAGCTGCGCAAGCCAGTCAGCAGCACCCACCATGGTCTCTGCATCAGCTCCTGCCTCCAGGCTCCTGTCCAGTGTGAGTTCCTGTCCTGACTCCCTTCAGTGATAAACTGTGATACAGAAGTGCAGATCAAATAAGCATTTTCCTCCCCGACTTGCTTTTTACTCATGGTATTTCATCACGGCAATAAAACCCTAACTAAGACATCAGGCAAGGCTTCTAGTGGTGGGACCAGGATATGAGCTTAGCCACAAAACCTTTGACCTACAAACTATCCTCCATGCAAGATTTGCTGGGGCAACGGTGGCACAGAATTTGTGGGAGTGGCCAACCAATGACGGGTCTAATTTTATGACCATGCCACTGAGTGGGATCCCATGCCCCACAGTGCTTGGATGACCAGGAACCCGAGGCTGGATAGCCCAAAGACCTAAGATAGAACCAAACACAACTAGGCAAAACAAAACAAAAGAAAGCATCCAAGGCCGGGCGTTGGTGGCGCACGCCTTTGATCCCAGCACTCGGGAGGCAGAGACAGGCGGATCACTGTGAGTTCGAGACCAGCCTGGTCTACCGAGTGAGTTCCAGGACAGCCTCCAAAACAATACAGAGAAACCCTGTCTCGAAAAACCAGAAAAAAAAAAAAAAAAAGAAAGCATCCATGAAGTAATTCCTAATGGTACTCTGCTATCCTCTGAGATCCCCACCTAGTCGGTCCTCATCAGAGAGGCTGCCTCTGGCAGCTGATGGGAGCAGATGCAGAGACCCACAGCCAAACAGTAGGTGGAGAGAGAGCCCAGGTTGGAGATCTCCATCGGGACCCTCTCCTCAGAGCTCAGAGGAGGAATTGTGGGTCACAGGGAGAGTATGCCTATGGAATCAACTACGCAGGGCTCACAGAGACTGGAGTGGCAGTCACAGCCTGCATGGATCTGCCCTAGGTCCTCTGCATAGGTTACATTGTTGGCTGGGTGTCTGGGGGAACTCCCACAGCGGGAGTCTCTGACTCTTTTGCCTGCTCTTGAGGACCCTCTTCCTCCTGCTGGGTTGCCTCATCCAGCCCTGACATGAGGTTTTCTGCCGGATCTTATCGTATCTTGTTGTGCTCTGTTCAGGTGATGTCCCTGGGAGGCTTGTTCTTTTCTTAGGGAACTGGATAGATATGGGGAAGAGGGGAGGGGAGGGGAAGGGAGCTGGAGGAGTGGAGGGAAGAGAGACTTCGGTCTGAAGAATAAATTTAAAAATACACTTCAAATCTAAGGGTCAGTCGGTGGTGGTGTACGCCTTTAATCCTAGCACTTGGAAGGCAGAAGCAGATGGATCTCTGTGAGTTCAAGGCCAGCCTGGTCTACAAAGCAAGTTCCAGGACAGCCAGGGCTGTTACACAAAGAAACCCTGTCTCAAAAACAAGACAAAAAAATGTGAATGTATTTTGGTCTTATTCTCCCTGCCACTCCATCCTTCCATACCTTCTCCTCCACACTGCCTCCCAACTTTAAGTTCCTTCTCAAAAACAAACAAGAAACCAAATGCAACAAAACCTAAAAAGCAAAATACAACGCCCAAAAATGTCTGGCTGTGGGTCTCTGTCTGTTCCCATCTGCTGCAAGAGGAAGCTTCTCTGATGGTGGCAGAATAAGGTACTGATCTGAGTACAGCAGAATGGCATTAGGAGTCACTTTGTCACTACGGTCTTTTTCTTTCTTTTTTTTTAGACCAGCATTATTGGGTTTGTCGTAGAACCCTGGGTTATCTAGTCTCAGGTTCTTGGCCACCCAAGCAGCGCTGGGCATGGATTCCATGCCATGGAATCAGCCTCAAGTTGGGTCTGTTATTGGTTAGTTACTCCCGCAAGCTGGGTGCCGCCTTTACCCTAGCCCATCTTGCCTGTAGCAGACCACTGCAGACAAAGTGTGCTGGCTTGTTGCTTACATGTCTTGATAGTGTACAGAGTACCTTCCCGTAGCAAAGATGCTGGAAAGCACGGGTGAAGGCTCTATGTAGGCAGCCGCACCTAGACATGTCCATCTTCAATGAGTTGTTGTCTTCAGTAACGGGGCTTTGATGTCAGACTGTGGAGAGCAACCTATTGTCTTGGCAATAGCCTGGGTTGTTTGGGGATTCCTATAAGGTCCCTTTGGACAACAACTCAATTAGATGTAACCCAATACTGTACTGAAAGCTTCATTTGGTAATAGATGACCAACTGGGACTCTGTCACTCCTATCGTTTGGTGATTTCCTTTAGATTGCCTTCATCTGTGTATATATTTTTAGAGGTTTCTATTTTATTAGCTTTCCATACTACCCCACAAACACCCCTATGTCCCCTCCCACTACCCCCTCTCCCCTCTCTACTTGATTCTGCCGTGCCACAAACCCCCTCACTCATCTCTAAATGTCTATTCTATTGCCCTTTCCTAATGAGATCCATTTATTCCCTCTGGTTCCAAACTGTGTATGTACCCTTTGTGGTGCTGTGGATTGTAGCTTAGTTATCAGGGCAGCTAAAATCTATAAATAAGTGAATACATACCATGCTTGTCTTTTAGGGTCTGGATCACTCCAGATAATTTTTCCTAGTTCCATCCATTTGTCTGCAATTTCATGTCATTTTTTTTCTAACAGCTCATACTCCATTTGAGTAAATGTACCACATTTTCTTTATCCATTCTTCTATTGAAGAACATCTATGTTGTCTCCAGTTTCCAGCTATGATGAATTCAGTAGCAACGAACACGGTGGAGCAAGTGTTTATGGCAGGATGACGTGACCTTTGAGTATAGCTCGAGGGTGGTACAGCTGAACACGGAGGCAGATCAATTACCAGGTGGAGGCAGCGGAAATGAGGTAAAGGACCACGTATCACTGTGGTAGAATGTGACTTTAAGGTGTTGGCTTTTGTTTATGCCGCATTTGTGTAACTCAGTGAAGCTGTGATTCTTTGCCTGCCTAAACCCGATTATCTAATAAAGAGCTGGACGACCAACAGCAAGGACAGGCGGGACCGGCAGGCAGAGAGGATAAGTAGGAGAAATGAGGAGAGAAAAGCGAGAGGACAAGGAGAGGAGGGCGTCAGGGCCAGCCACCCAGCCACGGAGTAGGATGGAAAGTAAGACTTACTGAAGAGAAAGATGAAAGTCTAGAGGCAAAAGACAGATAGGATAATTTACATTAAGAAAAGCTGGCTAGAAACAAGCCAAGCTAAGGCTGGGCACTCATAACTAAGAATAAGCCTCTGTGTGTGATTTATTCGGGAGCTGGGTGGTGGGCCCCTCAAAAAAGGCAAGAGAAAAAACCATTTCACACAACGCATGTCACTGCTGCTGGCTGGGCATTAGGTTAACAAGCCAATTACAGAGACATCTGGACAGCTACCAAGTGGCAGCCTAGAGATTTCAACTGATCTGTGCCCAGGATCAATTAGGAATTTGTTTCCTGGTGATCTCCTGGGCAGAGACTGTGATGAGTCCCCCAGAGTAGTCTCTGACAAAATAACAGGTAAGTGTGCTGTGTCTCTCTCTATATGTGCCTGTGTGTCTCTGGTCTGGTCTAATAGGCCCAATATATTCAGTGTGTTGTCAATACAAGAACAGGTCTGGCCGGGCGGTGGTGGCGCACACCTTTAATCCCAGCACTCGGGAGGCAGAGGCAGGCGGATCTCTGTGAGTTCGAGGCCGGGCTGGACCAATAGCCTCCGAAACAATACAGAGAAACCCTGTCTCGTAAAAACCAAAAAAAAAAAAAAAAAAAAAAAAGGTCTGACCTCAAAGGGCATAAGAGGTCATTTATTCCAGGGCCAATTTTAAGTAGCCATGGTCCAGGAACTCGGATTCATGGTACATCAAACACTGTTTCAATGTGGTAGACGTAGTAACAGATCAGTGTCATAACTAGAGTTGATTTTCAAATATATTAGTGGAAAGCATTGGGTAGAAAGGCAAATCAGTCAAGCCACTGCTACAGAACTCAGGTGCGACCCGATGACATTCTCAGACTGTGGGTTGATCTGTTGGCATAATTAAAAAGGGGTTTCATCAGATAGTTACAAGGATGTTGAGCCGATTTACAGAGGGGGGTATTTACCTGCCGCATTCCAGCTTTCCACAGCCATGGAGGTCCTCATCAGTCAGCAGCCCAGAAGGAAACACAATGGTAGCACGAATGCTGCCTTTCCTGAAAACCTCAGTTCACAACGTCCCACATCCAGGGTGCCGTCAACTGTGTCCCGCTCAGTCCACTGAGTCCAGTATGGTGTTGCTCCCAGCATCAGATGGTTTACCTGCACAAGCACAGTGCTGACTCTTTCCACCCTGACAACTGGCCCCTCGAATGGAGTAAATCTAGATCAGGTGCTGCTCCAATCACGTATTTCAGTCCACGCCCCATTTAGCAGGCATTTGGGCAGGGAACCCTCCTTTTGCCTGTGTTCTCTTTCATTGCTCCAGGGATGCGTGCTGGGAGAAAGGCTTGCAGGAGTGAAGAGTGGCCAACCAAAAGACACCAAGGACCGTCTGGGCCGACACACTGCTCTCTAGTTATTTTAGTTTCTGTAGAGTCACAAGTCCTGGCTAGTAAACTCAAACCCTGTCTGTGTAAGGCACTGAGCAAGGTTATAAATTGCTCTCTGCTACATGAAACAAACTAAGAAAGAAACTGTCTTAAGAGTCTGTTGCTGTGATGAACACCAAGACGAAAAACAACCTGGGAGGAAAGGGTTTATTTAGCTCACAACTCTAAGGTCACATCCATCACTGAGGAAGTCAGGGCAGGAAGGCAATGCAGGAACCTGGAGGCAGGAAATAAAGCTGAGGCCATAGAGGGGTGCTGCTTACTGGCTTGCTCCCCATGACTTGTTTAGCCTGCTCCTTATAGAACTCAAACCCACCAGAACGGGGTGGCACTGTCCCTTGGAGGCTGGACCTGCCCACATCATTCATTCATCAGGAAAACGAATGCCCAACAGACTTATCTACAATTTCTTGGGGGCATTTTTCTCACCTGAGGCTCCTCTTCCCTAATAACAAACAAACAAACAAACAAGAACCAACCCTGACAGGGCTGTCTTACATCTTGGATGAAGGGGTGATCTCCCAGGGTCACCAGGTCAAGGGCCAGAGAGGAGGTCCTGAGAAGCACCAGTGACACACGCAGGAGCAGACTCAAAACTGAGAGCTCCAGAGACTTCTATTTTTAGCCTTCAAGGAAAGAAACAACAACCAAGAGTAAGAGGCAGCATGAGAAGACACCAGGGACTGAGATGTCTGTGAACTGCAGGCAACTTGCCACTCAGCAAGGGCACTATGTAAGAACCCTTCCCAGAGCCAGTCTCGTTTGACCCTGACAAGGACCCTTGTACCTGGACAGGTGAGTAAAGAAACTAGAGAGGCTGAGGGACTCTCTCCAGTAAAGCAGACTTCACCACACTCTTAACAATTGCACCAGCCCAGCCCTCCCAACAGAGGAGAGGCTGACAACAGAGAAATTAACCACCCAGTGGAAAGCCCCTGGGGCACCTGCCACTAGAGCTGTTGTTTTCTTCTGCCTCTGTTCCATCCAGGGTGCCTCCCTAGATGCCCGGTGATTGCTCAAAGAGATTGCTTTCAAGTTTAAAATAGCTCCGTGTTGTCTTCACTGTAGAGACCATATTGTGGCACAAGCATTCACTGACTTGGCGTCTACACTCTGTGCAGGTTAAGGGTCATATTGACTCAGTTCTTGTCAAGGTGGCTAAGACAGTCTTCTCTGGAATGACGAGTCCCAGCAAATCAAATGCTGTCTGTGCATCTTTTTAAATTTAAAATCAGGGTCTTGTGTAGTCCAGGTTAGCCCTGTACTCCTGACCAGAGAATGGCCTTGAAGTCCTGTCCCATACTGGAATCACACCAGCTTCCCTTGGGTGTTCTTTTGGAGGAAATGTGATGGTTTCAGTTCAGATGAGAAAGTGACCAATCACTTCAGTGACATCAGGTAGGAGGGGCTGGTCAGCTAGTAGCTTCTGCCTGGGCTGACATGCCCCTGGGTAGTGGAGGGGCTTCCGAGCCTGCCCTCAGGCAGCAGGGAAGTACCTTGTAAAAACAGCAGTGACTGCCTGTGGACTTTTCTCTGTGGTGATGACGGGAGCAAATCAGCTGAAGACCTCTAAGTGGCTTCATGGCTGTGAAACTGAAACCCACCTGAGTGTCCGCTCCCCCCAGGAGCTGGTGTCCAGGATGAGGCACCTGCTGTGCCTACAGCTATCTCCACAGCCCCCCCCCCCCAGTGCAGGCTATGGTTTTAAGTGTCTCTGAGTTAAAGGCTCGGTACCAAAGTGGAACTGCTACAGGGGCAGGAAGAACTAGAGGAAAGAACCCCAGGTAAAGGGGGGGAGGGGGATACTCCTGCAAAGGGAACTATGACATGAAGCTTCTCAGTTTCGGCCCCGCCAAATGAGATGTTCTACCACTCAAGCCTGCCATGAATTGCTGCCTGGCCCAAGACCCAGAGTGACAGGGCCACCTGATCTGGGACTGGAATCTCCAGAGCCATAAACCAGAGTAACCCTTGTCATGTTGTTCATGCACTACCACAGAACTGACTTAACATGGCACCTTCACCTTCTGACTCCCACCACTCTCTTCCCACCAGCCTGACAACAAATGGGCTCTGATTTTGCATCTGAGTAGAGCATCTCCACTTTTTTTCTGTTTGTTTTGTTTTACGAGACAGAGTTCTCTGTGGCTTTGGAGGCTGTTCTGGAACTCTGTAGACCAGGCTGGTCTCGAACTCACAGAGATCCACCTGCCTCTGCCTCCCAAGTGCTGGGATTAAAGGCGTGCGCCACCAATGCCCGGCCCTTGTGGTGTGTTTTATTCACTTGTTTGTTTGAGACAAGGTCTCTCCATTTATTTCGGGAACTCATTATGTAGACCAGGCTGTCCTCAAACTCACAGAAATCCTTCTGCCTCTGCCCTCCAAGTGATTAAAGGCATGAATCACTATGTCCCAGAAGTTCTAGAATCTCTATGTTCTCTTTAATCAAGGTGTCTGGGCATCCTCTTTCTGAAGATAATCTGTCAGCTGATTGAACCCCGCCTTCAGCTTTGTGTCACTTGGCAAATGCTGAGTGAGGACTCAGAGTGGGCTGGGCTCTGTCCTGGGATCTGGGGACAGAGCACTGGGGTGGGGGGGTATTCAAGAAACCATAGAGTTTCTGCTCCCACACAGAGAAGGGTGCCATCTGGCAGTTTTCCGGTCAGTGTGAATCTGTGACGGTGGGGCTGGGGAAGAGGCTCAGCTAGCATACACACACCCTTGAGTTCCAGCCACAGAGCCACATAAAACCATCATTCCAGCCGGGCGGTGGTGGCGCACGCCTTTAATCCCAGCACTCGGGAGGCAGAGGCAGGCAGATCTCTGTGAGTTCGAGGCCGGGCTGGACCAACAGCCTCCAAAACAGAGAAACCTTGTCTCGTAAAACCAAAAAAAAAAAAAAAAACCATCATTCCAGGATTTGGGAGGTCGGATGAGGGTCAAGAGTTCAAGGCCACCCGCAGCAGCATAGCAAAGGTCAGCTTTAGTCACATGAACACAAAGGAAAGTATTAAGAAAGACTGTAAAGGCAGAGGTGCAGTCTCAAGGGCACTCATGAGGTCACATCTTACATGCATTTTGGTAGTTCTGGGTACCAAAGTCACAGCTTCAAGCCAGCGAGGTGAACACTCTATTTCTGAGCTAGACAGCCACTCTGAAAACAAAAACACATTTCTTTCATGGTTTAAGATGAGTAACATCAGGGGCTACTCTTAAAATAAACCTGAGTTTGGTTGTGTCCATACTTAAGAGGCTTACAACCACCTCAATTTCAATTCCAGGGGATCTGACATCTTCTGTTCTTCATGGGCTCCTGCACTCACAAGACATTAACACACACACACACACACACACACACACACACACACACGTAAAAAGAATCTTTGAAAAATGAATAGCATTAAGTTATGTGGTTTTCATATTATTTCACTTGGGAGTGAGTGTCAGGAAACAAAACTAATACATATATGCCTGCCTAGAGTAGAGGCAGCTGACTGTGATAAGGGACAACCTCCAGGGACAGGGGCTGGCCAGACTGTGCTGGGTGGGACATCTCGGACACTGAGCTCCTGTGATTCTGGAGGCTGAGACAAGGGTAGGGACAGGCAGGTGACTACAGAGTTAGCAACGATGATCCACACCCCTCCCTTGTCTTCTGTGACTGGCCTTCCGGCTCTCGTGCTCCCTACCCCAAAGCCAAGCCCCAGGCCCCATGGGGTGACCCCTCTGCACCCTCTTTTATCACTCTCAGCCAGCACAATAAAGACCTCTTGTAAGTTCCGCCTGGTCCACTTAGTCTGGATGCAATCTGGCTTCTGCCCTCCTCTGTCTCTTCCTCCTTCAAGACAGGCCCTGGTGGATGGCAGCCCTCAAACATGGCTCAGCAGCACATGCCGCCCGGACTCCACTGCCCCACGGAGCCTTGCCCCACGGAGCGACTCCTTTCATGATACCACCTTTGGTTGGAAAAACACAATCCCAAGTTTACAAGCAGGGTGCTTTTGTTTGTATTTTCTTGTATAACAGCTGAACAAAAGTTGGCATGGCAGTACCTACTTACAATCCCAGCAGTTCGGGAGCTTAGGTAGGAGGCTAGCAAGTTACAGACCAGCCTGGACTACACGGACTCAAGAAAACAAACAAACAAACAAACAAACAAAAAACTGAACAAAATGTGAGTTAACCACCAATTGGAACACTGGCACTTGATACATCCAATCCACAAATCCCATGAGCAGACACTGGGGTGTGGTGATATATTATTTATGATTTATTAAAGCTTATCTGAGGATTCAGAAAAGCAAAGCAGTAGGCCACTAGCCTGGGGACCTATTCATTAATGAGCACATCAGTCTATTTATGCAGTTATAGAAATATGCATTATATGCCATATGAGACAGCTCGGCAGTTAAGTGCACTCACTGCTTTTCCAGAGGACCCTGGTTCAATTCCCAGCACCCACATGGCATTTCACAGCTGTCTGTACCTCCAAGATCTGACACCAATGCACATAAAATTTAAAAAGAAAATCTGCCTCAGTCTCACAACAATACCCTCTCTCTCTCTCTCTCTCTCTCTCTCTCTCTCTCTCTCTCTCTCTCTCTCTCTCTCTCTCAAGTTGACAAAGTACACTGGTCATTTTGCAAAATGAGACTCTCTTTCCCAAGCTGCGTGTAAAGGGATACACTCAGATTAAGACTGATGGCATGTAAAACAAAATCCACTTCTCAGTGAACAAAGCGTTTGGTCTAAGCAATTGAGTAACAAAGTAACTATTAAAATATTTTCTTGCCTCACCAGTGATGAACTTGAGACAGATTCCGTCTCATATTTCCCATTCATTAGTCACTGCTCAGTGAATTGAAACACTGCACTTTTCTATCTATCCTGGAACATTTCTCAACACCAAGTTCACAGGCAGTGTTTGTTGTCTGAATAGTTGGCAATGTGGTGTGTTCACACAGGTTAACAATTCCCTTTGTCAATTGTCTGTTTTCCAATTACTTGCTTTTTACTACTTAATGTTGCAACGGTAGGTATGTGGCCCGACATGTTTATAATTCCAGCAGCTGGGAGGCTGAGGCAGGAGGATGATGAGTTCTAGGTCAATCTCTGCTACACAGTAATTTGAATTTCTGCTATGTAACCTCCTTAAGGAAAAACATACACATTGAATATATGGCTAGAAAAATACTTCAGTAAATATCCAAGAACAGTGTCCACTTACTAATGGTTCGGTATGATTTTCAAATTTTGAAAAACCCTATTTTTAACCACAGCACTGTACCATTTGAAAGAGACTTCCGTAGCGTCATTTTTCTCGATAATAAAATCTCTTTCACCGTGTCCAGACTGCTCGCGTGACTCATGTTTGATAGTTACAGACACCAGGGCCTCTGGATCCTCCCCTGCTCGGTCTCCCGGCAGCCATCCCAATTAAAGGATAGCGGTGTAACTAGTTGCACCCTTGTTTTCTGGTTTTTAATGAGGAGCTGCGCTCCGCAGGTATCCAATAAACAGTAATTGGAAGAACTCAGGCAACCGTGGAAGCAGCCCCAGGGCCGGCTGCCAGCCAACACTTGCGCCCTGGGTTCTGGATCCCTACTCGCGAGAGCGTTTAGCCAGTTGCAGCTTTAGCAGGAACCGGCCCAGCTCTATTGGCTCCAGGCCCCACCCACCTGCGCGAAGCCACGCCCAGTCGCCCCAGGCCTCATCCCCTAGTTCCAGGCGTGGCTTTCAGCTGCCAATCACAGGTAGGCCGGGCCTTGGCCATCGCAGGCAAGGTTTCAGTCGCGGTTTCCCTCCGCTGTCCGTGTCAGCCGGACTTCAGTGAAGCGGGGATCTCAGGCGCGGCCGTCCCGGACGTCAATCATAGCCAAGCCGGTCACGCTAACGTGCAGGCCCTTCCTCACCTAAACCCCGCGTTGGCATCCGTAGCCGCCTCCTCAAACCGAGATCGCCTCCCGGCCACGCCCATTCCTGGCGGGCTCAGGCATTAACCTCAGCACCCGCGGCCCAAAGTGATGCGGCGGGTCAGACCCCGCCCTGTCCCAACGCAGGCCCCGCCCTCGGATCAGACTCCGCCCACTCCCGAGGCAGCGGCCTGTCAGGCCCGCCCTGTCCAGGCGCAGGCCCCGCCCCGGAGCCCAGGCCCCGCCCCATCCCCGGCGCCAGCCTCAGCACCAGCCGCCCAGAGGCAGCGGTCTCCGTCGGGTCCCACCTTGCCCAGGCGCAGGCTCCGCCCCGCCGCCCAGGTCCCGCCCTCAGTGCTCGCCGCGCTCGGCAGCGGGTGGGACGCGCGGCAGCGGCTCGCCAGTCCTTTGTGCTTGAGTGGCGGCGGACCCGCAGGCCTTCGCCGGCTCGTCCCTCTCGCCGGGCCGAGTGGCGCGCTTCCCAACGACCCATCATGTCGGCGGGAGCGGGCGCGGAGGCAGGCTTCTCCAGCGAGGAGCTGCTGTCGCTCCGCTTCCCGCTGCACCGCGCCTGCCGCGACGGGGACCTGGTGGCACTCTGCTCGCTGCTGCCGCACACGCCGCGCGCTCACCTGGCCGCGGAGGACTCCTTCTACGGCTGGACGCCCGTGCACTGGGCCGCGCACTTCGGAAAGGTGGGCGCGGGCACTTTAAGGCGCCATTTTCCGCGTGGTTTTCCCTGAGGGTCAGAGTGCGCCCCCGCCGTGCCCGGAGAGCGCGGCAAAAGCCCGGGCGGCGGCGGCGGCGGCGGCGCCAGTCGCACCCCCCCATCCCCCGAGGCTTCCAGAGCGCATGTGCGGCAGAACGCGGTCTGCGACCCAGGGGGGTGGGGGCGCGGAAGCCGCGCCGGCCGGACCGGCGCCTCGAGGGGCGCACGGCGCATGTGCGGCGCCGCGCGCGACCCGGGACCTCGGGGGGCGCGGGGAGTGCTGGGAGGGCGGGGCGGAAGCGGGGTCGGCCTCGCCCGCGCCCCGAAGGAGCCAGGGCGCATGTGCAGCCCTCCGGCACGTTTCGAGAGAGGGGGCGATGTCGGCCGCGCTGCGGGCGCTTTACGCGGATCCCGCCCCCTCTCCGGGGAACCGTGTGGACGGCTCCTGCTCACGAGGAGCAACCGGGAGCCCCGGTGTTACGGGGCCCGGCTGCAGAGCGCCTTTAAGACGGGCAGGGATGGGCGCTGCCCTGGCGGTCCGGGGTGTCGAGGCCGCACCTGATGTGACCGGAGGCGGGGCCTCGGCTGGCCTGCCCGCCCCCTCCCCGCCGGGGGCCGCATCCTCCCGGTTCTTGCACGGATGGCGTACAGTCGTGAGCGGGCCTCGGTGCGGTGGTCGCTGGGGAGCCACCGTCTCCATAGTTACTTGAGGACAGACGTGCCTCCCCTCTGTAAAGCGGCCAGCTTCCCGGTGCCCTGTTTTGCTATGTAAGATAAAGCTAAAAGAGCTTTTTTGTTGTTGTTGGCTTGTTTTTCACTTCCACGGAGGACGAGAGTAGACTTTGGAGACCAATTATTGTAGCTGAGGCGAGGACTCTGGGTTTTTGAGCTGTCTTATAAACCATGTGGAACCATCTTGGAAACCCGTTCTGACTGGTAGGGAAAGCTCTTAGATCGCAGAGGCCGAGCCTCTTTCCCCAACCTGGCCGGCCATCTGCTGCCCTCCCTCTCTGTAGCTTTCCAGCATATTTTCCTTAGGATGGACCAGTGATGCTGAAGTTTAGACTGGCCATTATTAAGGCTATCCCTTGCTTTCACAGAATGCCCCCATTTAAAAGTTTTCTCCAGAATTCCAAACGCAGTTTCCTCGATTGAACATGGCCTAGCTAACAGATTCAGGTCCTGGGAACTCCCCGTGTTCGACGTTCATTGACCGCTTTTCTATTGACACCTGTTCATCTTACCACTGGTGTGTGCTTTTATTTTTATTTCCCCCCCCCCCCCTGGGAAATTAAGGAAACCCTTCACCAGCTATTACTTTCGACCTCTGCCTAACACTGTTGTGTTTAAATGTGTTCACTGACTGCTGTGTAAGTTTTGTAGACTGCCAATCAATAAAAACTCAGTGTTTTTTTTTGTTTTTTTGTTTTTTTTTTTTTTTTGTTTTTTTTTGGTTTTTACGAGACAGGGTTTCTCTGTATTGTTTAAGAGGCTGTCGTCCAGCCCGGCCTCGAACTCACAGAGATCCGCCTGCTTCTGCCTCCCGAGTGCTGGGATTAAAGGTGTGCGCCACCACCGCCCGGCAAAAGTCATCTGTCATTCATAAGGACAAGCTTAAATCACTAAGAGTGACAGATAAGGAGACTCGGGTGATTTTTTTTTTTTCTCAAAGTTGCTTGCAACCAGACACAGCTTTTTCACTGCCTTGTGGTCGGTTGAGAAACAAGCAGTTCAAAATTGGAGAACAAGTAAATCCCGAAAGTTGCCTGGCCACATGGTAGGCACTTGCTGCACTTGTTGGCCTGTGGTGGACTCATACCCAGCAGCCAGCACAGCAGTGCCTGGCTCTCTCTTGTCTCTGCTTGCCAGTCTTTCCGTTAGTCACCTGCTGGGTGAGCTCAGCTGTGGTGTGACTCTCCCCGCTCCCCCCCCCCAGTTTTCTTTCTGTCCAGTTTTTAAAGACTGAGAAAGTGATAGGGAGTGAGCTTTGGGAGCGTGACTGTGTTTAGACTTTTTTTTTGTAGTCTTGTCAATCACTAACATTTTTAGCAAGTTTGTGGAAGTCTTGATAGAAATTTTAGAATAATGCACTCAACATAAATGTCTTAAGATTTTGGCGTGGTGTTGGAAAGAGAAGAAAAAAGAATGTTAACAAGAACAACACTGGTGACCGTTGTGGAAATTAGATTGTTGTACTATTAATTGGTATACTGACATGTCCTGTTTTTGTCCTCCCGCCTCTTTGAAGTTGGAGTGCTTAATCCAGTTGATAAGAGCAGGCGCCTCACTGAATGTCTCCACCACCCGGTATGCCCAGACCCCAGCCCACATTGCTGCTTTTGGAGGACATCCTCAGTGTCTGGTCTGGCTGATTCAGGCTGGGGCCAACATTAACAAACCGGTAAGGAGGCCTGATTGACACTGCCTTTATTTTTCCTGCTACAGCTATTCACAAGATGTTTTAAATTGAGGCCTTAATTAGAGTTTGATGTCTTTACCTGAGGCAAACTGGAATTTGTTCCTTCAGTTACTTGTGGCTAATAAGCCCTTTCCTCCCGAGGCATGCATTCAGTTTGTAGAAGGATTTTACCTGTTATGGGACTCACCCAGATCTGAGTTGATGATTTGCCCAAGGTCACAGCTGATAATTGAAGGCTGCTGGCCCACAGCCCAGATTTCCTGGCTCCTGCTCCTGGCTGCAGCCTTAACTTCATAGATACTGTAGAAACACATCCACACCAGCAAAGGCTGGCTCCCATCGGCTTCTGGGTGGGTTTGCCCTTCAGACACAAGTTGGGGGTGGTAACTAGGTGTGGAAACTTCACTTTAAGTGTCATTTACTTAGTGAGAAAAAGGGAATGACTTGAGAAATTTGTATTCAGGTGTACTGACTACATATGTGAGCCAGGTTTTTTGTTTGTTTGTTTTTAATGGATGCGTATATTATTGGCCTTTAGTAGAGAAGCAGCCACAGTAGATGGTCTGAAATGGAGCAGACACAACTTATTTCCCAACTCAAAGGGTGGGTTACATGCTGGCAGTTCTAGTCGCTGTGCTATATGCCCCCTCCCTTTTGTTCCTTTCATTTTCTATGTACTCTTCTTTAAAAAAAAATACTGTATGTGGGTATTTGCACCTTTTGGCTGAGACCAGTGTTGGGCCGTCTTAGAGCTAGAGTTATAGGTGATTGTAAACTACGGGTCTGCTGAGTAAGCCTTATGTGCTTTTCACAGATGAGCCATCTTTCTAGTCCCTTACGTATTTTCTTATCCTCATCAGCATCTCGTGTGCAAAGGATGCTCAGTTCCTCCTGCTTCTCTGTCTTGAGATTTGCTCTTGATCATGACAGTTGTAAAGTGGTTGTGGTTCCTTTCTGAGGATGTCAGCTACCCACATATATGGCAAGTGTTTTGGCCAGGGGTTGGAGCAGGAGGAAAGGGGGTGCAAGGCATAGAATGCAGATTTTCTTCTTGAGACATTGAAGGGCAGTGTAGGGGAGGCCGCCCCTTCTTGTCATTGAGACTTGAATGGGGTAGCGTCAGATCATTACTTCTTTTCTTCTTTCATATGGATTTCCTCGTTTGCACCCTCACCTTGCAGGGCACAGGGATGTCTGTCCATCTGCCTGGCGTCTGTACCGTTGCCTCCTGGTCTCGGCACAATGTGGAGTTGAGTCTGGGTACTACTGTTCGGCAGGCTGGCTTCGTACAAGTCATTTACTTAGTAGACTGTGGTTTCAGCCCCACCAATAAAATATGGATAATCTTGCTCTTAATATAGAATTTAAGTTTAGAAATTTCTGCATGTTAACTAAGTAGCTAACAAAGCTGTAATTTACGAGGTATAAAGAAATTGTTACTATTTAAAGGCCAGGTGTTGCTGTCATTTTGGTTATTTTCAGCAGATACTGAGCGTACAGGCTCACAGGTGTGCCCCTGTGTCCCCACTGTTCTGTGGAGTCCCTTGAGATAGCACCACATGCTCAGGTTCCCGGGCAAGTCTTCCCAGCCTTGCTTGCAGCTTCCCTTGGTTACTTTTGAAATGCAAATAGAGACTGGAGAACACCATTGAAAAGTTTGAGTTTTCCTGATTGCTTCAGCATAGGCATCTCCTTCAGAGATGGAGCTCACAAAAGGGCTAGGTAGTCCTTCCTGTTCTCTGACCACTGTTAATATCCCTCCATCTTATGGGGAATTTTTTTCTCTTGTTCCAAAATTAACTAAGATTTTTTTTTCTTCTAAACATATTTTGCAAAACCTCATCTAAATCTGTTAGCTTTCCTGCAGAGTACATGTGTCTCTGTGGTGTTTGTGTGTGCTGGTGTGGCTGTGTCTCTGTGTGGTGTGTGTGTGTGCTGGTGTGGCTGTGTCTCTGTGTGGTGTGTGTGTGGGTGGGTGGGCATGTGAGTGTGCGTGTACATATAAGAGCGGGAGGTTGATGTGGAGTGTTTCCCACAGTTACTGTCCATCTTATTTAAGCTTATTTCTCACTGAAGCTGGAGCTCGTCAGTTTGACCAGACTAGCTGTCCATTGAGCTTCAAAGACCTTCCGGTCTCTGGTTTCCAGTCCAGGGGTTGTAGACACACACCACCACGCCTGACTTTCCTATGGTCCTGGAGACCTTTACTCCCAGTGTTAGAGAAGCAGAGGGAGATAGATATATGAGTTCCACAGTCTGTGCAGCAGGGTTCAGGACAGCCAGAGGTACACAATTGAAAGACCCTGTCTCCAAAAAACCTGAGTTCACATACGGATAATCACATGACTTGCTGTTTCGTTTCTTCTAAAAACCCAACTTTTCCTGACTAGACCCTGGTATCACTTTAAAGTTCAGTTAAACCATTGAGAACCCTTGTTTAATTTAATAAGTGGACACTTGCCTGTCCTGAGCTGTCCTGGCCTTAGTCTGTTTGCTGTGAAGCAGTGACAATTTTCCCTGTGTGGTGCACTGGGGAGGAGCTCAGCCGTTTGCTAAATTTATGAATAACCCTTTCCCAGGGCCACACTGTACAATTGCACCCCTGCCTTTTTCACTATCCCTTAATTGTGTGGTGTACAGGTGCTGCCAACTGCTGCTCCTGGGAACCTGAAGTGGGATCCATTCAAGTCCTGGCAGAGCTCTCTCTCAGGGTTTCCTAGACAGCAGCGCTCACTCCATCTGTTGCCCTTTTGTGTCTCATGTGTCTTTGCCAAGCCCAAGGTCTATAAGTGCTACAAAGCTCCCCGTCCAGCATAAGCTTTTCCTTGTCTTTTACCCCATCTGACTTATCCCGAGATCCAGTTCGGGATAGAGAGTTCAAGACAAGCTCTTATGTCTTCCTGCTGTCAGCACTACAGAAGCTACAGAGGGCTGTACAGGAGGTTGGACTTGAAGTTGTTTTGGGAGCTTTTTCTTGGCCTGAGTAGCTGGTTTTGTTGTTGGTGATGTTTGGTTGGTTGGTTTGGTTTTTTTGAGATAAGGTTTCCCTGTGTACCTTTGAAGCCTGTCCTGGAACTAGCTCTTATAGACCAGGCTGGTCTCAAACTCAGATCCATCTGTCTGCCTCTGCCTCCCAAGTGCTGGGATTAAAGGTGTGCACAGCTCTGGGTAGCTGTTGTAATGTGAATTTGCTTTTATTGGTTATAAGATAGTTATTTTGATTTATTTATTTATTGTACAACACATTTGTGCCAACCTCTGGAATAAAGTGATTGGTCAGTCAGCATTACTGGCTTCACACCATCAATATGGGACACCTTCCAGGTCTTCATCAATATCCTACACGTAGCTAATGTTGTGGAGAGCATGCCCTGTGGCCTGTCCTTTCACAGACAGCACAGCCTCCTGCTCCACTTTATTTCAGAGCTAAGGGAGTTCTGTATTGATTACCTGCTTCGCACTGCCAACAGTTTGGATGACTCTGAGCCTGTGTGTTCTGTGTTTCAGGACTGTGAGGGGGAAACGCCCATTCATAAGGCGGCCCGCTCTGGGAGCCTGGAGTGCATCAGTGCCCTGGTAGGGAACGGGGCTCATACCGAGTAAGTGCCTTCAATTATTCCTCTCACTTAGAGACATGGTCAAGGTGTTCCATCCAGAAGTAGCATTTAGAGCAGCAGAAGCCTTAAATGTCCTTGTTTCTAGAGTTGGCAACATAGTTGAGCCTTTTTGAAAGATCAGGTGTTAATGAGGAAGGTTGTGTTAGGCTAACCACTAGCAGATGTAGGCTTCATTCCCCCGTAGCTAAGAGTGGAATGAAAAGAACAGTCAGACCATTAAACATTGGTACTCATTGCTATTGACTTTGCCACTGAGTAGTCATGTCACTGTGGCAGGTCTTCTCATACTTTGTTTGCTAGGCTCTAATTTCAGACGGGGGAGGGGGAGGGACCTTGGATCAGAGTCGAATGCTTTTGGCTGGCTCACAGTCTTGAAGACTGTTTCTAAATCTGGATTTCCTTAGCTATGTGAGGTCTTGTGTAAAGCCTCTGTAGATCTAATGATTGACAGCTTCCAGCCACCTGGAGCTGCATACGTAGAGACTTAGCTTGCTTGGAGTCTTTGCTGAGGGATTAGTGTAGAATGTCCTCATTTTAGTGCCATTTACATGAGCTGTGGTCTATCACCTGCTAGAACAGTGCTAATGTGTGAGTGTGTCAGTTCAGAAATGTGATCTTGGATGCAAATCATTAGCTAGCCATAACATTATATATTATGTAGGTATGATATTCATTTGTTTAACTTTTTTTACATTGTAAAAATTTTCTTCTGCAGTTCACAGCATTAACAAATGGATGCGGTTTTCATCCTTAAAACATTGAGTGTAAGCTGTAGAGAGCTGTAATAACCAAAATAACCGATAATACCAGCTTTTAAAATTTTACTGTAACTTAATGAGTAATTCATTAAAAATTAATTAGAAACCACTTTATTTTAACAGGAAATGTGAAAATTGAGACTCTTGGATGCAGTGAGACCCGCAAAACTTAGTTTAACCCTTTGGTTTCCATTTCATTGTTCTGACTCTATATTATAATAAATTCTGAACATAGGTCCTGAGTAACAAAACCTTGTATGTTAGCTCATGTAGGCGTGTCTGTGTCCAGAGCTCAGTGTAGTCACAGCCTTAGCTTCCGTTTCCTTTTTTATTGGCAAGTCTCACATTAGTTTTGGCTTGGAGGTTTAATGTCATAAATATGGCCTGTGTTGCCTAAGCATAGCAGCAGCACATGGCAGTGATCCAAGTGCCCAGGAGGCTGAGACATCGAGAGTGGGCCTATAGCCCACCTGAGCTACATTGTGAGTCCCTGTCTCAAAACAGAAACATCAGGCAGGTATTAACTTGTAACTATATTTAGTTGTCATGAAAGGTAATGTAAAAACAACTTGATAATGTGAGTGTGTATTATATAATCTTAAACCATTTAAGATGATTTGCAATTGCTTTAAAGTTATAGAATCAGTTTTATTCACTTTATTTATATTAAAAACTTAGACCTTTAATGACAAACTTTGATTATAAATATAGTCATATATAACAGTTCATTAAATTACTTAATTTTTATGGAAATAGTGGGCAATTAAAGTTGGGTCTTTTAAATAGCTTACTTTTTTCTAAATTATATTTTAATTGGTCCTGAACATTTGATTACAAAGATATCCGTTTTTATTTTAATGGGTAGCTCAACCCTTTGAGCCAGTAAATCTGTCAGTGTGTCCTTTTTCTTTCTTTCTTTTAAGTAGGTATCTTAAAATATGAGTATCTTTTATTTACGATTCTGTCCTTGGTTACAGGACCCTCAAGTGTCTTTTCTACCAGGTGTGGCTGAGCATGGCCTCGAGTGCCAGTCTGTCCCCACCTCAGTGCAGGAACCACCCTCGAGACCCTGCAGTATGGTGACTGCCCTGGACTGAGCTTTCACATTTTTTTGGAAGGAACATTTAGTTTGAACTACCTAGGCAAAAGCAACTCTTAAAATCAGAATTCTTTGGCCTGGAGTTAGAATACAAGTAGTCATTATTATTATTATTATTATTGTGTATGTGGTTATTCAGTTTATCATCTAATGAAAATGTTGGTTTTGACAGTATGCTAAATTGAAAACTGCTTCTTGATGTCTGTTCTGCACATTTTTATAATTTGTCCTGTTTAGTCTGTCTACATAAGTAAGCAGTTTGACTCCCCAAATAGCAGTACCTAGGTCTGTGTTCCCTGTAATGCCGCTTACATGGCCAGATGTAGTCCCAGTGCAGAGTAGGTCTTTTTTCCCCTCAGACCAAAGGTTTAGCTTTAGTTTCCTTATTTAAAATTACTTAATATATTTTTTTCATTTCAGAATGGGTCAGATTGTTAATTCATTTTATAATCTATGATATTTAGGAGATTAAAAACTTTCCTTCTCCTCTGAATAGGTTAAAAGCTGCCTCATACTGCTATTTTTAAATTAATGATTTTGCTCTTAATTCCTACCCTGCTTTTTATATATCTGCTACATTAAAGTGGCCAAAGACTAAAGTTGTGCTCTTTTTGATCATCAGGTAGATGGTGAGGGTAGCTGCTAAGTGTCTGTGGCTAGAGTGGTTTGTTATGTGACTGACTTGTTAATGTAGGTTGCAGCTGTAAGATAACACAGTTCAGCAGCTGTGCACCGTATTAAATTTTCTAGCACCACACGTGAGTATGTTGATGGACTTTTGTTTTCTTCTCTTAATTTAAATCTTGAGTTTTGGTGCCAAGTTATCTTTTCCACATAAGCTCTGCTTCTGGCTTATGTGGTAGTCACCAGTAAATGCCGCTGTTCATACCTGAAAGTCCCAACTCCACAGACTCAAATCCCAGTTCTGTGAGCACACTAAATGTTTGCATACCTTAAAGGCCCTCGAGCTGTAGCTGAGCATGTTGGACTCTCCTGAACTGATTCAGTCTCACAAGATGCAGAAGGCAGGACTCTACATGGCTTCATTAGAAGTTGTGTGTTTTATGGTAACCAGATCCAGCGGGGTGCCTTTGAAATAGTTCACTGAAAAGCAGCCTCCCTGCTCAATGCTCAGGAGACAGCTGAAGCAGCAATGGGCTGGGGTAAGCAGGTTCCTTCACCGAGTGTAGACATGGGCTCTGCTGTCTAAAGTGACGACAGTGGCCCAGCCACAGTTGCAGGCTCTGTGGATCTGCTAGGCTCTCGTAGTCACTGAAACGGGTGTATGTGCTTCACCTGAACCCTGCCTGGCGGTCATGTTATCACCAGGACAAACACATATTAAGAACATACTTGGAGTGTCGTGTCAGAGGTCCTCTTGTAAGCGTAACCAGGACCTCTCATTCTAGCCGTTCAGTCCCAACCTACTTCTTCAGAGCATCAGTCCTGCTAAGTGACGTCTCAGGCGCGTGCCTGAGTTAGTCTGATGCTCTCATGCTTTCGTTCTCCCCACCGCCATGTGCTGCCCTTCCCTGATTGTCCCCGCTGCAGAGTCTCAGGATGGAGGGAGGCAGCTGTGCGGGGCTGCCCACAGGCAGGAGTGGTCAGTGTATGACAGCTCCACAGTTGACAAACTTACCTTAGAATTGTCTTATTGATAACTTAAGTGACATAGATTTCCTCTTTAACTGTTGCTTGTACATTAAATTGGTGTTTGAAAAACAAACCAACAATTTGTAAATACCAATTTTTCTCTCTGTTAAATCGTAGTGGAACATGCTGAGTATTTTAATGTATGCAAACAATAATTGTGGTTCACTTGCAATGCTAATTGTCCTCCATATCGTTGAACTTGAAATGAAAACTTGGCACCAAACTTACTCAGGTAGAAACTTTTTTAAAAATAGTTTCTTCCTATCGTTAACTGAAGAGTGCATTTATGAAAGTCTTCATGATTATGTGTTTGGATACCAAAGGGTTAAAAATACCCCTGTATTTCTTTTACTGCAGTAACAGATGTTTGCTAATGTTTTGTCTGTATAAATAGACATTTAGTAAATGTTTTTGTTTTTTATCTTTTTTTAATGATTCCATTTATTTGCTTATTCCCATCTAGGAATAGTTACTAATGTATTTGCGATACAGCATACCAAATTTTAAAGTAACCAGAATCGTGAGTTGATGGTTTTTAGTCCATACCGTTAAACTTTTGTTGAAATATTGACATAATTGGCTTCATGCTGACGTTACTGGAGGTAACTCTTAATGACAGCACTAAAGCAGTGAAGGTGGTCACACACCAGTGGCTTAGCTCTGTGACTACTGCCCTGCACCTCATGTGTGTATGTATTTTTAATCCAGTGTTGCCTGCCAATGTGATCCCTTATGACTGACGTTTCCTGTGTATGAACCATGCCCGCTTTAAGTCACGCAGAAGATTCTGAATCTGTAAAAACTACACATGTCAATGTTTTACAGCTGCGTAATTCGAATTGACTTGGTTTTTTCAAGTAACCCTAGAAAGGGGAGCATTCACATAGAAACTGCTGAAACTGCCACAGGTGCTTCTCCGAAACCTTACGGTTGTGGCATTGAATGTTCAGTATGGCTTCCCTTCTGCACACAAGCATACTGTTGAGGTATTTGTTGCGGTGATTGGTTTTAATGCTAATCTAGGAATTCAGATATAGATTCTTTAGATTTGCATGCTTTGCTTACCCTAATTAAGATATCTACCTTCTTATTTGTAAACTAACAATAGCTAAATTCAGATCAGAATTTTAACAGAAATATTACTTATGTAAAATTGTGGTTATATTTTATTGTCACATGGCATTAGCACAAAGAGGGTGTCACAAAGGTGATGTGACACCTCGAGTTCTGAAAATGGTGTCGGGTATTTCCTGACCTGTGATTATTACGTTGATCAAAGAAGCAGCTCATTGGCATGGCTCCTCTGTTCTGGTATTGTGGCACTGTAAGTGGAACATCAAAGGGGTAGCTGGCCTCTGTGTCAGTCAGCTCTGAAGCTCCTTGGGAGGGATTCTTGAGCAAATTAAAGGTAATGCTCCATTCAAAATATTCTTACAGGACATTGGGTTTGGTGACAGTTTGATTCATTTTTGCCACTTTGGCAAAATATTTAATTTATAGCTGGGCTCACTCTCTTCTCCTGTGCTAGTTTTCTGATTCTGAACGATTAGCAAGATGGATGGGAGTGTGGCTCAGTGGTTGAGAGCTTGCCTAGAGTGTATAAGGCCCTAGGTGTGACGCTTAGCACTGCCTGGGAACTGTTTGTCTCTCTCTTGGGGGATTACAGAGCTGGGATTCACAGGCAGGGGCAGCAGACAGATGGGGCTCAACCCCATGAAAGTCTGATCGGGCTAGAATTGTTAACACACTCCCTCCATTTTAATGCTGTCTTTGTCTGCATGTTAGGACCACAAGAGTGGATAAAGGCTAAGATCATTCTTAAAAGCAGTTGCAGCCATTTCTCCCAGATCTTTTCTCTTTACTGATACTTTATGAGATGTAGCATGTCTTGTCTGCAGGACCCTGGTGAATGTTGGTGAGTCACAGGATGAAAGGGTGGACTGCTAACAAGCTCTTGACCCAAAGTAAAGGACGTAGAAATCATAAATGAGTTGTCATTCATTCATGTGCGCACCTCCCATGGGACTCAGAAAACTAGGGCAGGGAAAGCTGAGATCACCTCCTTAAACTGGGATACTACATAGAGGTCAAAAGTACAGTTAACTTGGTATAGTCTAACCAATATCACTATTAAAACACTAAAGTTGAAATGTGAGCTAATGAAACAACCATATGTGAAAACAGAATTTAAAGACCCAAGCTTCTTTCATTAAAAATTAGTATTTTGATGTGTGTGTGTGCCCCGGATTTGATCCCCAACACTACAAAAATAATTACAATTTAGATTATATTACAATTATATTATTATATTATAATTATAATTTAGTGCTTATTCTCATTTTGATGTGGAAGTCCACATAATTTTCAGCCTCTGATGAATTGAAATTGAGTTAGTAAAGGTAGTTGGGAGACCTCAAAAGCAGTTCTTACTCTGCACATACTCACGCCTAGATTCCACTGTGAGGTTCTCAGAAGCAGGCATAGCAGGTAGTGAGATGGGGTTGCTTGGTCTGACAGTTTTCTGCGTATCTAATATTTTGTGATAGGTTTGGCAGTTTGTAGAAAGTTATCTTTTTGTTTGGCTCTAGTGCATCCAAAAGTGTGTAAGACAATGAGGAGGACTTTGAGGATGCTGGTTGACATGAGGGAAACAGCCTCGCGCTTGTCAGCAGCTCTTACCCTGGTCTGCTGTTGGAGGCCCATGAGCTAAGAATGGCTTTTGATTTCTAGATGCCAAGTTAACAGGAATCAAAATAAGAAATAATGGGCTTTATATGTAAAGTTCCACGTGGCTCAGATTTCGTTGTGCATAAGCGATGACAGACTATAGACACTGACTGCAGCTGCTTTCAGGCTATGGGAGCTAAATAGTTGGGCGTGAGATTGCATCCTCTGCATACTCGCCCTTCAAAGGAAAAGTACTGTGTCCTGGATTAAATGTTCCCTGCCGGTCAGTTCAGGCCAGCTGCCCTGTGGAGTACTTCGGGATGAATGGACAAGCCTGAGTCTCACACAGGAATAGATAGTGCTAGTGGTGAGTGCAGGTGAGCAAGAGAGAGGCGAGTGGGTGGTGGAGGCTGGTGTTTGCTGCAGCATTGAACAGACCTGGAGCTTGAGAAGGTAACTGCTAACTGCTGTGCGGTCAGTCCTGAGAACACAAGACACCATAGTCAGGAGGGCTTTGTGTTGCCATTTTCTAGATTGCCGGTCACCGCAGGCATGTGTGCACAGACTCTGATGTGTCCAGTTCACTTTCTAGACTTTTGTTCATGTTGTTGTATGAGAGACTCGGCTTGACCATGGGCTCTACTTGGTGCTGCACAAGATGGATTGGCGCTCTCTCTCTCTCTCTTTCACTGTCTGTCTGTCTGTCTCTCTCTCTCTCTGTCTCTCTCTGTCTCTCTCTCTCTCTCGCTTTTCTCTTGAATTTGAAAGTTGGGCCCTGTTGGTTGGCTCTGGTATAGTCGAGGAAATCACCAGTGTTGACGGGTCCCTGGAGGATCAGGGGGCAAAGCTGTTAGCCCACTGTGGTTCATGTTGCCTATTTCCTAGTGTGTTTGCCTCCCCTAGTATTGAATGTACTCTTGAGTTTTGGTGAACGAGACCATACTTATGATCATTTGGAGGCTACTGAAACAGCTCAGTCCCCAGGACCCATATGGTGACAGAAGACAGTCTATAACAAGTTGTCTTCTGGTCCCCACACAGTTCATACCTGTGTGTGTCTGTTCTAATGACAGGTGGGCTTTGTAAAGATGCTGGGATGAGTGTACACCAGAATTCACCATGCTGAGGTCTTAACAGCATCAACTTTAGTTCCTACTGGTCCTGTATATAATTGCTTATTTTTAAAACAGTGCTACTGATTTCTGGGGTTCTCAAGTCTTGTCTCTTTATATCATTAAACTGGACTTGAGGGCTGATAAGATAACTCAGTCAATAAAGTGCTTTTTATGCAAGCATCAGGACCTGAGTTTGGGTCCCCAGGTATTAGGAAGACAGACAGATCCCTAGAGCTCCCTGGCCAGCCAGCCTAGGCACATCAGCGAACTGCAGGTTCAGTGGAACACCCAGTCTCCAAACCCAAAATGGAGAATAATTGAAGTCAGCCAACCTCTAGCCTCCGCAAACACACCAACACTACCCACGTGCACCACACACACCAGTCTGTAGCCATGTGTATCCACAGACTGAACTTGAATCTGTCTTCTCCTCTCTCTCTCTCTCTCCCTCCCTTCCTCTCTCTCTCTCTCTCTCTCTCTCTCTCTCTCTCTCTCTCTCTCTCTCTCTCTCTCTCTCTCTCTCTCTGATAACATTTATTTCTGCAACTGAAGCCTTCTGCATGTGACCACTGGAAATAAGAGTACAAAGCTGTGATTATCCTTTTAAACTAAGAACCAATGTTTATCCCTGAGTCTATAGTTTTTGTGCTCTAAGTTTTAAGTTTGTTTGTTTGTTTGTTGCCCTAACAGTCACCCTAACAAGCACAAGCGTCAGGGTTTGGATTGGTCATCTCTGATACAGAGCGGGGCCCTCATTTCATCACGTCTTGGTTGGGCGTGAAGAAAGCTGGCTGAGTAGGTGTGGAAGCTCTCCTCGCCATTGTTGTACCCAGTGCCATCTGACGAGCCTGAGCTCACTGTTGCTCCCTGCACTTCCCTGTCAGCAGTGCGCGTCCTTGCCTGGTGAGGGGCACTAACAGGGTAGCCTTTGTCCCCACGGTTTTCACTGGTTTTGTGTTTCCTCTTCGCCTTTCATCTGTGAGTTGTTTTTCAGTACTATCGCCAGGTGACACAGTTTCTTTTGGAGAGCAGGAGTGAGCCTAGGGAGTGAGCGCCTGTGTTGGTGCTGCAAGGTTGTTGTGAGAATGTTCACCCAAACGCTGTAGACTTTCAACATAACACTTCTGCTAGTTTTCCTACAGAAGCGAATCTATCAAAACGTAACTCATCTGTCTCAGATGTGAGGCCAATGGCAGGTTGCTTTGTCAGGGCACCTTCTGAACTTCCACTTAGAGTGTCACATGTCAGCCAAAAGCCAGGCTTGTTGATACACTGACCATTTGTGTTCAGGGAGCCACTCGATATGAATGCCATGGACAATGTTGTCAGTACGTGCTTGTTATAGTTTTACTCAAGCTAAAGGATGGGCTTTTAAAATTAGGTGCAGGTGTACAGAATTTGTTTCAGGTGAAGTCTGAAGTTAAATAAATTTAGATTCTTCAGACTAACATGAAACACAACTTTGAGAAGTCAAATAGGAAGATACCTTTAAGTTTAGTATATTGATTTTTTTTTGTTTTGTCTTTACTGTCTCCCAAATCAAATATGTGTAGGAAAAGTTAGTTACAGACCAGGCTGATTACCTGCTCCCTTAATGCAGATTTGCTGTAGATCTCTTGTCACCTTCAGATAGTTTAGTCAGTTTGGCAGGAGCAGACACCAGGGTCTGTGCTGTGGGATGTAATTCATTGTTTTTGTGTTGTACAGCCTGAGAAATGCCAGTGGCCTGACGGCAGCAGACATTGCACAAACCCAGGGTTTCCAAGAGTGCACCCAGTTTCTCTTGAGCCTTCAGAACCATCAAATGAGCCGTTTCTGTCATAATGGCACCTTGAGTGGAGCTCACGAGAACATGCTTCCCAATCACATTAGCCTGGGAACAAATCGAAAGAGATGCTTGGAAGACTCGGAATCTCTGGAAGTGAAGAAAGCTAGAACCGGAGGTGAGACCCTGTGGGAGTGGGAAAGAGCAGGGAGGGCCCTGCCCTGACGACAAGTTCCTTGTTGATGGCTAAAAGCAACTTTAGAGGCGCTTTCTGCCTGACAGTAAGTGCCAGGAGAGCTCTTGTGGGAACAGTAGAGACTGTCCTGTGCTGCGACGTGAAGATGAGCTGCTATCGGAAGGGTGGCCCAGATGTGAATGGATGTGGACCTGCGGCTTCTGAGTGTCCGTGAACTCGCTCTGTAGACCAGGCTGGCCTCGAACTCACAGAGATCCGCCTGCCTCTGCCTCCCGAGTGCTGGGATTAAAGGCTTGCGCCACCACTGCCTGGTTCCTCAAGAGTCTTTTATAAAATGGAGTAATGATGAAAGTAACCGTGCAGGAAGTGATGTCTGGCTCAGGGTCCCACCTTGAACAGTTGGTGGTGGGCACAGTATTGACTGACAATAGGTAACCCTTCCTACTGTACATCAAACTTGACTTGGAAAGCAAGCCAGGCCACAAAATGCATGCTTGGTAAGAATCAGATGTACATACTTGGAAGTATGTGTTACAAGGACGTTCAAGTCAGTTCAGTCAGACAGAACATGTATAGCTGTGTTAGCATGGACATGGAACTGGGGGCGGGGCTTGAGAGCTGCAGTTCCTTGAGCAGTTGGTGCTGATGGCACACTTGCTGAGTCTAAACCGGTTGAGGTTCCTTAGCGCTCTGAGTTAGTCTTCAGAAGAACTTGGTGCCCTGCCCGTAGTTAGTAGTTGCTTTCTTTGGACAAGGATTGAGAAAACAACCGCCTTAAGAAAGAGGTTGAGTTTGGCTCTCAGGGCTGAGTGTGACTTTGATGCTGCGTCCATAAAACGCTGTGGGTGAAAACGGCAGCGTCCCTTGACCGTAGTGTCAGCACTGAGGTTACTGGACGTACCTGGGTTCCCGAGTAAGTTTAGCCTGGGATTTCTGTTTCTGTTGATCATCCTTGAATAATAGATCATTTGCTAATTGCCTTAAACATGAAACTCACAAAAACTCCTCCCAGGAATACAATTTTCATTTCGTTCCTTTAATTTGTAATGTCCTCTCAGATTTGCAGCAGTTGGCTGTTTATATTTGTTTTTTTTTTTAATTTTTAGGGTGGCAAAGCTACTTCAGCTTTTCCAAGCAGACAGTTGTCCTGATCCCTGGAAGCATCATTTTTGTGTGTGTGCACTTAGTGTTGTGCCAAGGGAGCGCATGGTACCTGTGGTTTTCTGTCACTACTGTGGTCTGATTGTTCTCCACAGCTGTGAGCAGCCCGTTTCACACACGACCCTTCGTGCTCTTTAAATATAGCCTCGGTCCTCCTCAGTCTCGTGAGAGCTCTGCTGCAGTCCCGAGTTCGGTCCCACAGGCCGTCTGCTCACGAGAGCCTCTCTTTAGACCTTGAACTGGATGGCAGGAGATGGTTGAGGGACAGATGAGGTAGGTATGTGATAAAACTTCACGGTGGCTGCTAGAAGCCAGGAGTTGAGGCTTCCCTCTAGCTTAGCATTCCCTGATGAGTGTACTTGAGACTATAAAGGTTGCAGGGCATGAAGGGATGGGCAGCACATACTTTTGCCCACCTCTCTGAGGTGAGTGGGCCAATACCAAAGGCCCTTTTCTAGGGCGCTGGAAGTTATGAGCCTGGCTTTGTCCCAATCCTTTGATTGTCTGAAAGTCCTTGGCAGTTTGGACTTGTGTGCATTGGCGTCTGCTGCTTTGGTTGATTATAATTAGCAGTGCAGGTCTTGGGAACATTTCTGTTGGGTCACTGGAGCACAGGAAGCTTGGCTCTATAGCTTTCAGGCTGGTTTGTTGATGAGCAGTGGTGGTGCACACTTTTAATCTCAGTACCTGGGAGGCAGAGGCAGATGGATCTCTAAGTCAAGGCCAGCCTGGTCTACAAAATGAGTTCCAGGATAGCCAGGACTATGCAGAAATCCTGTCTTGAACCTGCCCCTCCCCCAAGAAAAAAGATGTGCTTTCTGCTTCCTTTCCAAACCCAAGCAGAATAAACATGGGTCACTCTGAGACGTCTGCACAAACCTTCTCAGGTATGGCTTAAATGGCTTCTTCAGCAGTGACAGATGGGGGGCAGAAATGCCACCCGCATCAAGGTGTGACTTGGAGCAAACGGAATACAAACAGCATTCTTAGGGATGCTGTGGTCGTGACATAGGAGTTAACATAGATAATGATAGTTATGATGCCTGCTTGCAAGAACCTGTAGTTGCCACTTTACATGGGGACCAACACTGATCCCCTGGCCTCCCAGTGGAAGCATGGTTACCTACTCAGCTGGATAATTGACCCCTCCAGATCCCAGCTTCTGTGGCTGCTGCTGTTGACACTAACTTGGTGGAGTACGGCCAGTTTGGTACTGACCTACTAACTTGGGCTTTGGGATTTGAAACAGCTTTGTGTGAGAAGGACAGCTTCATGGCTAGTAGTTCTAAAAGTCCCGTTTAAAATGCTTTTGGTCCCTCACCAGTCAGACTTGCTTTCCCTCAACCATGCAGATCGCTGTTTAGGTCCACCCGCACTACTTGCTCCATCAGTTGGGTTCTTGCATCTCTGCCACTTTTGGTTTCAATCTGCACCTTAGCATCTTTGGGGAGGAATAGGATGTTGGTATAAATAATTGAAAAACAATCCTCGTGCCTCTAAAATGAGGACTAGTTAAAGCTATGAAGTTCATTTCTTCTATTTTGAAACCTACTTCATACCTGAATTATTTATTTGTATCCTTTGACCCAAAAATAATTTATTGAAGAAATGTCAGCAAAGATGTGCGTTTGAGGGCTGTTAGGGGTGCAGTTTGTGGGAGCACAGAAGGAGGCAGCCAGGCAGCCCACGGTGTCTGTAGCCATATGGTGAATACAAGATTCTTTTGAAGTAGTTAGCATTCAAATTAATATGCTTCAATATGGTATTTTCATCCATGTATCACCTTGCTGATATTTGACACCGCCACTCCCTTCTTGCCCCTGCCTACTGGTCTCCTCCTCCCCCAAAAGCCCTTTCTTTGCCTGTGTTTGTGTGTAAATCTAGCCTTTCATGTGAGAGAAAACTCATTGTGTTGAGTCTGATGTCCAGTTCATCAAGTTTCCTGCAGATGACATGTGCACTCTTCCCCGCTACCCGCTTTGAAGCAGGCTGCTCTCGCCTAGCTAGACCGGAGCTTGCTGTGGTTTGCCTCAGACTCACAGAGATCCACCTGCTTCTGTTCATCGAGTGCTCAAGACGCACCTGGACCAAGATTGCATTCTATGCTTGCCTGTGTGTCAGTGAAGCAATAGGCAGGAGCGATTCTTGAAGCCATCTGTGTGTCATTATTTAAAAGAAAAGGAGAAGCCCATCCTTATTCAAACTAGAAGCCATTTGTGAAAGAGAGGGGCTTGTTCCCTAGCGGGGGGAGGGTGGTCAGGCTGGAGACGGGGATCTGCAGAGTTGTGCCTGGGAGGAAGTGATGGTGCCTGTGCACTTCACCCACAGACAGTGGAGTCTAGTTGTCCTGTGTCACGTCTAAACTTCCTAGTGTGTGCCTTGCTTTTCTGCGCTGGGACTCAGACCACACATTGCTGGAAGTAGGTCCCTGCGGGTAGCCTGTGCCATGTCAAGATTGTTTTCAGTATTTAAATCATTAAACCCACTTGTGGTAGGGGCAGGGTGGGATAAGCTTAGAATTATCTCTAGGTTATACAACTGTTATTCAAGGAACAGCCTGGGAATTACAGCTTTTGCCATCAAGAACATGAGCAGAAATCTGGAAACTGTGACTCTGAGCTGAAATTGCAAACTTAAACTCTTATACTTTCCTGGTAGTATAAACGTTCACTGGGGAGCTTTGCTTCTTTAAATTGTCTGACAGTGGTTTATGCTGTCAGTGTGGATAAAGGAGATGGGAAGTGTGGCTTTGGTTTCTTCTTGGACACAGAGATCTAAAGTTGCCTGTTTCCTGTGCAGTTCCCAGCCTGGATCACACCATGCCACTAGCGAATGGTGAGGCTGAAGACGACGCTGACAGAATGCATGTTGACAGAGAGTTTGCTGCTGTATCAGGTGGGAGTGGACAGTTTCCTGTTAGCTGCAACAGCACCCCAGTGGTCGAAGACACCAAACAACAGGAGAGTGGTTCTGTTGGACCCAAAGAAATAGAAATATATACTGTTTCAGCAATGCAGACCCCTTGTCGCTGCAAGAATCAGTATGCTTACTATTTCTAAGCTCTCAAGCTTTGCACTTTCTTGTCCAATGTCTTTTTTAATGTTCTATTATAATTTACAAATTTTTTGGCACTTGTATAGATGCAAGAATTAAGCATCTCAGTGAATTGTATTGCTATGAGCACTAGTGCAATATCCCAGTTTTGATTTGAAGCCTTTACATGATGTGCCTTGCTTGTTTCTCGTGAGGTCTGCAGTTGGTTTTCTGACATGGCCTTTGGGTGACTCTGCACATGCTGTTGGTTATGTTTGGAAAGCAGTACAACAGCTGGACAGCTCACTGTACACACTGGGAACTGTGAGGGTGGTGGCTGTGGCTTGTGACCCACCCCTGACAAGTTTGGGATATTTGCCCCACACTCTTGGTTGCTTTGGTGTCTGGCAATTCCTTGAAGACTGTTAAAAATGCTGACCATTTTCAGTGGTGCTTTACGTGTTAACATGTTCAGCACATTAAAATAATTAACTCTTATTTTGCAGTTTTGAAGTCAAACGAAGCTCAATTTTTCTAGGATTTAGGATTTCTGAGATGTGTTTATTTGGCATGTACCTTTTTCTCCCACCCTTTATTTAGGTGATGGCAGAACATCGTAGCTATTCTCTATAATGTCTTTCTGTTCATTTCTTTACTGGGAATAAAAGGTCACCTGTGTGTCTCCAAACCCACAGGAAATGTTTCTGTGCCGGTAGCTTGCTCTGCACAGTTGGGGTGGTGTAGGTAGATAAAGGGGGTGCCCCGAGAGCACATTGCAGTCAGGTTCTCTGCCAGAAGATGCTACTTCAGCTCAAGCCTGTCCTTCATGGAGACGACATTGCTCCCTTCCTGGTCAGACAAGAGTAACCGCTCTCTCCCTGCCTTGTGTTAACAGCAGTCCATGCTAAGCTTGCGGCCAGGCGTTCCCTTCAAGCCCAGTTGTTCGTTTGTCCTGGGTGTCAGAAGGCCCTGTGGCACTTTCCAGTACTGTCTGTCTGAAGAAGGCGTTAGGAATCCCTAGAGAGCCTTGCCGCTTCCCTGGGTGAAATGTCCCCTGTGTCCACAGAAAGCCTGTGCAGGCAGCTGCCATTGCCCTGGGCTCTGCCCAGAAGTAAGGCGTGTCTCCTGAAGTGCGCCTCTACACTTTTGAAAAGCTGTTTTAATGCCCTTCACTGGAGACAGTGAGTGTGTCAGGACTTCCTCCCCAGTCAGCCTGGCTTCATGTACCAGTGCTTTGGATTGGGTGGCTTCTGTCCACAGCTGAGCAAGTGGAGTCCCAGGCTTCGCCCATCAGATGACGATACGTTGCCCCAGATGAGGCTAGGTGACCAGGTTCCTACTGTTTACAGGGCATTGATAACTTTGACATCACCGTCCTATTTATGAGTTAACATAGAAAAAGGTAACATACTTTATTTTTGAAAAAAAATATAATTTTCCCCTTGAAAAACTTGCTTCATTTTTTTCAAAAGTTTTGTTCCTAGCCCTTGAAATGTTCATTTTCTAATACTGAGTTGTTTACACAGAAAAGCTACAATTTGGGGGGGTTATCCCTGAATGTGTTAAAGTTACTAAGTTATTACTAACCTGCAAAAAAAAAGTTGATGGGCATCTTGGAGTTTTGTTTGCTTAGTAACCACAGTCCTCGGCAGGACACAAGCCACTAGAACTGAGCCTGTGTAGACTTAGTGTCTGTCTGCCGGCCTGTCTCAACAGCCCAGAGCACTGAGATAAGATTCAGCGGTACCAAGCAAGAGCTCGTTCTTCTGCTTTGGGGACCCTGTGACACCAGTTGTAGTGCTCTGAGCTCTGCCCTGAGCGCACACTTCCTCGCAGCAGCATCTTGTAGCGACAGACATTTAGAGCCGTGGACTAAACTATCCACACCTTTCAGCATAGGTGGTTTCTGAAATTAGCCAGACGGGAGACGTCTTTGTTGCGGGCTCAGGAGAAAACCCTCAGAACCGTAAGAGGCACTGGTGTCGGCCTTCTTCGCTGTAGCTGCCGTTCGTGCTGCACCCGTGCGCTGAGGGGCTTTTCTGGGGGTTGTGGGGGGGGGGGTGTTGCTAAGACAAAAGCCATTTCTTTTAGTAATCGTGTCTATGCTGCCCTGACTGGGAAGCATCCCCTGGTGGTGCGCTAGTTCGAGCTTCTTAGCGTGTCCACTTCATTTGCCTTCCCTCTCTTCAGTAGAGAATGTTCTGCTGGCTTCTGCTGGGCCCTCCCAAGGGTATTTAAACTATTTTTCAAGGGTTACTTTAGTAGATAAGTATCTACTCTTCTGTGTTTACTTTTGGTGACAACTTACATTTCAGATCACTGTCCAAGGCTACTGAAACATAGGCACTTTTCCTATCATACTAGGCAAAATACTACAGTTGTGTTTTACTTCTAAATCTGCCTGTATAACCTTGAAAAAGGAACTGGTTTGTTGAGAAGGGGAAAAATTGCAGCAGAACATAAACCAAGGTCTTTTATACCTGTGGCAAGGGTTGGACATATGCTAGTTTCTCCTTCCCCACTGGTCTGCGCTTTGGTGACAGGTATATTTCTTAATGCAGATGTGAAAAACGGTAGCTCCGTGTTGAATACATTGACAAATGGAAGTGTCATCAATGGACATTTGGACTTCCCCTGCGTGACCCAGCTCAATGGGATGGAGAGCAGGAGTAATTCGTGCTTATCAGGATCTAATGGAATTAGCAATGGACAGCCATTTTCCAGTGGCCAGGGTTCTGTGTGTGCTAATGGGACTGAGGAGCCAGAAAAGACCGTGGGCGTTAGCCCTGAGATGTGTGGGTCTCTACATCTGAACGGGAGCCCAAGTAGCTGTGTGACCAGCAGGCCGTCCTGGGTGGGGGATGGGGAAGAGAACTTGCACTACGGACACTACCATGGGTTTGGGGACACTGCTGAGAGCATCCCTGAGCTGAGCAGTGTGCTGGAGCACTCGAGCTGTGTTCGGGTGGAGCAGCGCTACGACAGTGCCGTCCTGGGCAGCATGCAGCTGCACCACGGCTCCTGAAGGCAGGGCCTCTCCTCGCTCCATGCAGTGGCGGCTTGCAGAGGCTGCACACACGGCCTGTGCTGGTGGTCCTGGGCTTTCTGAGAAGACTTGGATCCACTCACAGTTAGTTCCCCATGAGTACCGCTGGCCGCAGACGGCCTCCAGGGCGTAGACTTTGCTCCTGGGGTGGTGAGCCTCCTGCAAGGAGCAAGCACTTTGTTTTGACACCAGCCTCTCTCTCTCTCTTTTTTTTTAATTCTGTTTGATCAGGATGATATAGGTTAGTAAATGAGGTGCCTGGTGGCAGACACGTGGGCTTCATTTCAGATCATTTACCATTTGCTGTAGCGCTCGTGACAACTCAGCTGCTTCCTCTGCAAGATGAAGCCTTACAGCAGTGTCTTGTGGGAAGAGGACTGTCACTTGTCAGGGCACAGTAGTCCCCGGTTTCCTATGTAGACTACTGCCTGTGTTTCCTTAGAAACAGGCTCTGCCTAGGATGGGTTGGGCTTTGTTGCATTTTTATTCCACATTTGTACTGGTCTCTAGATTTTTTACCACAGATAATGGTTTTCTTTATATTTAGTGGAAGTTGCTGTTTGTAGGAACAGTCAGGTCAGAATATTTTACTATAGTGACCTATTTTTTTGTTACTGTTTTTTGAGGTTTTCTGCTTAAAATATATATATATATATACCACTATATCCAGTTAACTGAGAGAATTTTGGATTTCTCTTATTAAAACTGCATTAAATTTATGGTTTTATAGAATTTAGCTTTTGTTTAGGCAACTAGTGGTTACGCTGCAAATACCGCGATGACTCCTGGTGTTTGTAATCACAATCGGTGCAGATAAACTGTGAGATGAAGAAACCAATGTTTTAAGAGTGTGCTAGCATTTTGTTTTTTCACCTGTTCTTTACAAATTGAATAAAAAACTCACTGCTGATGTGTTTCTGGAGTGTGCTTTCTAGGTGGGGTTGGGTGGAGAGGTCTAATAAAAAGGTGGGAACGGTTTGGCATTGGGCTGTGTTTTGCTTGCGAGGTGTGGCTTCGCGCCCCATCCCTGTCTTACTGTGGAAGCTGAACCCTCAGCTACTCATTTTTACAGGTTGTAGTGGTCACGGTGTTCTAGACTTCAGCCTTTTACAGATGTAAATTAGAAGATTAGGGTAAAGTAGCTATCGGGCACACTGCAGTGGTTCTCTTCAAACAACCTGGACTCACGTGAGGAATGTTAAGATGTGACAACGTACCTGTCTAGCAATCAAGGTCAGAACTGCCCGAACTTCCTAGTGAGAATGGACACAGAGTCAGTATGTCAACAAGTTCCCAGGGGACTCACATCTCTGTAGGGGGCTGGAGAGATGGCTCAGGTGAGGAGCACCCACATGGTGGCTCTCAACCATCTACAGCAGGGTCAGATGCCCTCTTTATGGTGTGCATGTGTCCGTTTAAAAAACAATTCTATGAAGATAGAAATGGTTAGCCCGTCTTGAAAATTGCTTGGCAGAGTGACTTACTGGTGGAAGTGGACACGGATGCTCACGGTGGGGGGGGGCACACGGATGCTCACGGGGTGGGGGGGGCACACGGATGCTCACGGGGGGGGGGCACACGGATGCTCATGGGGGGGTAGTGGCGATCACCGTGGTCACCAGCATGGTGGGAGAATGAGGGCGTGGTCCCCAGCAGGGGAGGGGAGGAAACTCTGCTGTGTATAAGTAACTCCCTTAAAGTTCGTGGGGGAGGGGAAGATGAAAGATTTGTATTTTAAGATTTCAAATCGAGGCCGGGCATTGGTGGCGCTCGCCTTTAATCCCAGCACTCAGGAGGCAGGTGGATCTCTGAGTTCGAGGCCAGCCTGGTCTACAGAGTGAGTTCCAGGACAGCCTCCAAAACAATACAGAGAAACCCTATCTCGAAAAACAAAACAAGATTTCAAATCTAACTGGCTGTACTACTGTGTCAAAGAAAAATAAATTATATTGTCAAAAATGTGAATTTGAAAGACAAATGAAAATACAAACTTACAATTAGAAAAAAAATTGTCATTTCCACACCCTACAAGAATGATATTAGATGAAGCCCACACTGTGCCAAGGAAGGAAAAGGTACCAGGGTTTTCACTTTATTCAAAAGGAAAAGTGAAGCCAGATTAACATTGTAAAGGAACAAGGCCACATCAGACCAGCCCTGCTGGGTTTCCCATCATCCTTCACCACCTCCCTGTCCCCAGAGGACCCACAGTGAAGCACTACTGAAATCGTAGCTGGGGTGCACCTGTTTCTTTCTGGTGAAGATGTTTCCATGACCCTTGAGCTGACTTGTCTCTTCTGCCAGTGCAGAACTGAAGGCCAACTCTGCAAGCATGGTCCATGAATCATGGCCCATTATGTCGACAGCACATGGCAGTGATAGCAATTCCTTATTCTGGGGTTTTGAGTTTGTCTCCAGAAGGAAAGTGAAGAGCACCCTCGAGAGCTCAGTGACTGTCACTCCAGCCACATGGAGCTACAAAACAAAGTGTCCCCTGGTTATTGCTCCTGCATCCTCTAGGAGGCCAGGTAGAGATCCTCCAGTGATAAGAGCTGAAGCCAAAGACTGCTGTGGGTGGAGCCTGCCACTGGGGTGCAGGTGGGGGCACTATGCTCTAGTAACCACCCAAGTAACAAAAGATGCAAGTTCCTAGAGGCCAGAAATGCAAATGCCATGGCAACAGGTGAGGAAGCAAGAAGCCAGGGACTCAATGCACAGTGGCGCTCAGCTCTAAGCTCTTGCCAGACCTTTGATCACACACTGCTGGTGTCAGATTTTAGGCACATCTCCAGAGCCTCCAAACTGCACGGCCCTGACTCCCTTCTGTGCGCATGGTGCATACCCACTCTGGAGACCCACAGCACAGGGGTACCTGTCCCCACACACCTTTCCAGAGACCAGAGGGCCAGAGTCCTCGGTGTCTGAGCAACAGAGCTACCATGGGAGTCGTTCTAGGAGCTTCTGAAGCATGGGTTGTAGCCCCTGGCCAGAGATGCCTCACTAAGCTGACCATATTCCCTACACCCTGGTGAGGACAGCAGAGGCAAGTGGCAACCTGGGCTGCCACAGTCCCAAGTTTTGTCTTCAGGCAGCATGTTCACTGGTGGTTTTAATCGGTAGTACTTACTATTGGTTACATATCTGTATGTGGGTATGTTTGAGTGCGGGTTCCCATGGAGACCGGAGATGTCGCATCCCCAGGAGCTGGAGTTAACAGGTAATCGTGAGCCACCCAACTCGGCCTCTACAGGGTAGTGTACACTCTTAGCCACTGAGCCTTCTCTCAGCCCCCTGGCTTTAGCATTTAATGAGGGACTGGCTGAGACATTCAATCATAAATACCTCTGTGTTGGGAGCCTTCATTCTGTAAATATGTGTCTGATTGGTTTGAATAAAGCACTGTTGGCCAATAGGGAAACAAGATAGGTGGGACTAGGAGTCTAAGAGGATTCTGGGAATTGTAATGAGGAGAGCTCTCGCCATGTGATCTCCCGGGAGCAACGGGCACTCAGGAGTGTGTCCTCAAAAAGTTAAGTTCTTACAAAATACATATTAGTAATTATGGGTTAATAATCAAATCAGAGCTAGCCGTTAAGAAACCAAGCAAACAGGTGGGGCGTTGGTGGCGCATGCCTTTAATCCCAGCACTCAGGAGGCAGAGGCAGGTGGATCTCTGTGAGTTCCAGGACAGCCTGGTCTAAAAAGCGAGTTCCAGAACAGCCTCCAAAACAACAATACAGAGAAACCCCGTCTTGAAAAACCAAAAAAAAAAAAAAAAAAAAAGGAAAAGAAACCAAGCAAACGGCTAACAGCATAATTATTATAGTGTCCTGTGTGTTATTTGGGGGCTGAAAGCAGCAACAGGAACCAGGCGGCGGGCAGGAAGACTAAACACTACACCTCTGTCTTCGGTGATTAGCTACTGAATTTGCTCCTGTCTTTCACCCTGATCCTTTTCCCTTCAGGGAATCCCAGGGCTCGGGGAACCCTGATGTCCTCTGATAGACCACCGGGGTGCTGATGAGGGAGGGGGCTGTGGCCCATTTCCTAATCAATGTCCACTCTGAATCCTCCATGTCACCGTTAGTGGCACAGCCAGACTGAGAAGCGTGTCCACATACACACAGTTGACATCTTTTTCTCCAGTCTTTTTTCTAAAAGAGAAAAATTGAGAATTTGACACAACGTTTTGATCACACTCGTCCCCCGAAGACTTCCCCCTAACTCCACCCCCACGCCAGGTGACCCCAGTGTGGACCACTCTCACTCCTGGGTTTGAAGTCATCCACAGGAGTGTGGTCAACTTACAAGGAACAGATCATGAGGCGGTCTGCTAGGACCAACACAGGAAACGGTGCCCCTGTGCCAAGACAGCTGAGCATTCAACCGTGAACCAGATACAGCCTGCTGGAATTGCTTAGCCAAGGCGACTCCTCTCCCCTTAAATGAGTTAGTCAAATTCCCTATCAGCAAACGGAAGACTGGAATGCAATATCCAAAACCAGCTGAGGGTTGTACTGTGACTAATACAAAGCTGGCTTAGGATTCATAAGAGGGTGCAGAGTTCCGTTCCTGCACCCTCCCACAATCACCAAGACCAAGGTTGACGCAGCATGAGACAGAGTCATGGGGGGTGCTTTGGATGGAGGTGACCTGCATTCCTCATGGAGAATGAATTGGGTACAGATCCAGTTCTCCATCGTCTCCTGTGGCGTCAGCCAAGTCCCCTCTGAGGGGTAGACAACCTTCCTTGTGAAGAGAGAAGGCAGCCTGACCTGAGTAAACACCACAGGCCAGCTGACACATTCTACCCCCAAGCTCTTTAGGCTATTGGGTATCCACGTGGACTGGATAAGAGCGGAGCTCAGAGCCGGGCGGTGGTGTCCCACGCCTTTAATCCCAGCACTCGGGAGACAGAGGCAGTCGTATTTCTGTGAGTTCAAGGCCAGCCTGGTCTACTGAGCGAGTTCCAGGACAGGCTCCAAAACAATACAGAGAAACCCTGTCTCAAAGAACCAAAAAAAAAAAAAGCTGAGCTCAGGGTGTGGCCTGCTCTAGACCCAGAAGATTTGAAGAGGGAAGCCTGGCCTCTGCTCGGGACTCCTGACCTGTCCCCACCAGAGGGTGGCTTGGGTCCCTCTCGCTGGTATATGAGGGGCCGACTCACACTGAGGAAGTGCACGGCTCTGGTGGTTGTGTGTGAGGAGCCTGTGGGACACAGGAGGCGAGTCCAGGTGTGTGGACAAGCATCATGGTGCCACTCTGCCACTAGGAAGCTTATTCTCATGGGACTTAGTTAGACAGTTTGCTGTGGGTACAAAACCGCCTGAGGAGAAAGTCCTTCAACTACTCAAGTTCCAGTTTCTGGTAAGACGCATGTTTCTCCTCCCCCTCCCCCTTCCCACCCTCCCCCTCACTCTTCCCACCCTCCCCCTCACTCTTCACACCCTCCTCCTCCCCCTTCACACCCTCCCGCTCCCTCTTCCAGCTCTACATGTATTTATTATGTGTGTTGCATGTGCGCATACACACATACTCATGACACAGTACATGCGTAGAGGTCAGAGGACAATGTAAGGGACTTGGTTCTCCTACCTTCTTGGGGATGGAACTTGTGTTTTCAGGCCTGGTGGTGGCGTCTTTACCCATTGAGACACCTGTGTGACCATTTACCATGACAATGGTGGAGGCAGCCATGGGCTTCCCAGACACCCACCAGTATCTTAAGTACCCAGTGGGAGGCACATGGGGCTTGCAGCTGCCTCCCATCCTGCCAAAGCTGGCTTTTGAGCAGCCTGCAAAACACGGATGCCCTGAATGGAATCCCCAGGTGCTGTCACAATAGGAACACAACGTTGATCCTGTAGATTGGGATGGTTAAGGCAATTTTTAGATGTGCCGTAATATTCT